GAATGTGGGCGTTGAAGTTTCTGCAGTCAGCAGCAAGGTGGGGTCTTCTCTCAATGCCCAATGTCCAAGCCTCAATGCCCAATGTCCAAGCCTCAATGCCCAATGTCCAAGCCTCAATGCCCAATGTCCAAGCCTCAATGCCCAATGTCCAAGCCTCAATGCCCAATGTCCAAGGCTTAATGTCCAAGGCCCAATGTCTGCTGCTGCTGCTGCTGCTGCTGCTGGGAGGTGCATGCAGGGACAGCCGTGGTCAGCAGGGCATGGCCAGGCCGTGCGTCATCCCACCGCCCCTCAGCCTCAAGTGGTCTGCCTCCTCGCCTCAAGTGCGTGGGTGGGCGACCTGCACAAGTGGCACAACACAGCATCAGTCCCTGGCCATTCACAAATGACACAAACAGAAATAAAAAACTGCAAAGGGCCGCCAAACTGCATTCACTTACCAGGGCGGGATGACCGGTGGGTAAGCGAAGGGCGGATGGCGAAATAAGTGCACGCGCTCGCCAGCAGCGGCACCTCTCCCGCCTCGCCTCGCCATTCCTCCGGAGGCGAGCAGTGATCAGCAGGGCAGCGAAAGTGGTGCCTGCCGTGCGACATCCCACTGCCGTCATCCCACTGCCGCCATCCCACTGCCGCCATCCCACTGCCGCCATCCCACTGCTGCCATCTGCTGGCGGAGCAACAAGGAAGATCGGGAGAGAGAGCAGAATCAGTCTGTGAGCGGCAGAGAGAGAGAGAGAAAGAGCACAAGCAGAGAGCAACAGAGAAGTGTGAAAGTTTAGCACAGCAGAGCGACAAGTGAATGGCTGGGGAGGGGTGGGAGTTGGAAGGCGCATGGCGACAGTGGGATGAAAAAAGACAGCGGAAAAACAAGGAAGGGAATGAGGAGCGAGAGGGGAGGAAGGGAGAGAAGAAGGAAGCAAGGGGCCGTGTTCAGACATGGCTCCAGTTACGTACTTGTTTCTCCAGTTGCTGCTGCTCCAGTCGCTGCTGCTCCTGTCGATGCTGCCGCTGCCGCTGCCGATGCTTCTCCTGTCGCTTCTTCTCCGTCTCCCCAGCAACGCGTCACCGTGCCTGCACAAGGAACCGCAAGGTGCAACCTCACAGTGAAGGTTAGTAACTGGGTAGAGGTTACAAGCTGAGAGAGAGAAAACAGATGACACAATGCAAGGAGAAGAACGCCGCACAATGAGGAGGAGGAGGAGGAGAAGGAGGAGGAGGAGGAGGAGGAGGAGGAGGAGGAGGAGGAGGAGGAGGAGGAGGAGGAGGAGGAGGAGGAGGAGGAGGAGGAGGAGGAGGAGGAGAGAGGGCCGCTACTGGTGAGGTTACAGCCACAAGCCACAGACGAAAGAGGGGTTTTCTGTCATGTCTCATGTTACTTACACTTGGTCTTGCAGGTGAAGACGGTGGGGGGGGAGGGGGGAGTGCGGGGGAGATACCCCGCTACCGGATGCACTTACACTGGGGCCGTTGCCCGAAGTACCGAAGGGAAGGGGTTAACCGGATGCACTTACACTGGGGCCGTTGCCCGAAGTACCGAAGGGAAGGGGTTAACCGGATGCACTTACACTGGGGCCGTTGCCCGAAGTACCGAAGGGAAGGGGTTAACCGGATGCACTTACACTGGGGCCGTTGCCCGAAGTACCGAAGGGAAGGGGTTAACCGGATGCACTTACACTGGGGCCGTTGCCCGAAGTACCGAAGGGAAGGGGTTAACCGGATGCACTTACACTGGGGCCGTTGCCCGAAGTACCGAAGGGGTAAGCGTCTGTGACCCGTGGGGTTCACCTCAACCAGCAACGACAGAGGAGGAGGAAGATGAGCGGGAGGAGAGAAGAGGAGGAGGAGGAGGAGGGAGGAGAGAGGAGGAGAGGAGGAGGAGGAGGAGGAGGAGGAGGAGGAGGAGGAGGAGGAGGAGGAGGAGGAGGAGGAGGAGGAGGAGGGAGCATGGAAATCAAAATAAGCAGAGGGTCAGGGACAGGGAACTTAGCTAGTTGTTGATTCCCGTTGCCATGCTCCAAGCTCCGCCATGCTCCATGCCTCCATGCTCCAACGCCAGTCAGCATCTGCGCCTCTCCCCTGATGCGTCCGCGCCTCTCCCCTGATGCATCCGCGCCTCTCCCCTGATGCATCCGCACCTCTCCCCTGATGCATCCGTAAGGCTTGCCACCTCCTTCGCAGCACCATGCCACCTCCTTCCCAGCACCACGCCACCTCCTTCGCAGCACCACGCCACCTCCAACGCCACACCAACGCTAGTCAGCCCTCTCCTCCCGCGACAGCTCAAGAAGTGTCCATCCTTCCAGCACCAACGTAGTCAGCCAGCCGCATCTTCAGACGCACGGACGGTCGCATCAGCACCGCTCCAGACCTTGTCGAGAGACAACCTCAAATTGCCTCCGCTCCTGCACAGACAGTTAAATGCGCAGCGAGTGAGATACGCTGTCATGATATAATGTGCGTAAACCGAAATTCGCAGCTTGATTGGAAACGAAACGCGATCAGCAAGAAATTAATAGCAACTGGAGATACGTCATTGAATCATACGAGCAAAAAAACCGTCTTTAAACGTTTACCCTAACGATCGTGCGTGTGGCGGCGAGACTTCGTAGCGGCACGAACGTCGCGAGCAGGGACATTCGCGAGATTCGTACGGGACGTCGCGAGCTTCGTACGGGACGTCGCGAGCTTCGTACGGGGCGTCGCGAGCTGCTCCTCCGCCATCGTGGTCATCCGTGACGCATCCGCTCCGCAGAGAGCGATGGGAGTCGACGAGATGCTTCGCGCTGATGTTCTCGTCAGCGTCGGATTTCCCCGTCAGCGTCCAATGTATCCGTTAGCGTCAGATGTCTTCGTCAGCGCCAAGACTTCGTCAGCGTCAGATGTCTCCGTCAGCGTAGCATGTCGCCCGTCATCCCTGCCTTCCTCAACGTAGCTTCGTCAACGCTCCCTGCCTTCCTTAGCATCCCGTAGTAGTACTACGGAAGAGATGACGGCTTCGCAGCGACAACCTTCTCGTGAGCGGCTGAGCATCCGATTAAGAAATACTACGCCAGCACCAACGCGAGCTGAAGAGACGACTCCTTTCGTCTGTAGCGACGTCACGAGCTGAGGCGATGGCTGGAACGTTACGAATTAGAAGTCAGAGACGTCGCACAGATGTAACACAGCCTCGTCCGTAGCAGCGCTAAGATGCGAGGTAACGCAACGATCTAGATGTCTGAAACGTTGCACAGATGTTGGCGTAGAGATTACGGCTTACACGTCACGGAAAACCGTCGTACAAAGGCTTCGAAATGACCAATGGAAACGCCATGGTGAAATGGTGGCTTCAGGAACATTGTCGCGTCAAGCATGAAATATCTCAAACTACCACTGATGAAGTCGATTCGTCTTACTATGCTTTAAGATCATGTCTGGCTCTAAGAACTTGCTATGCTCTAAGATTCTGCAACAAAGCTCCTAAAAAACTTAAGCTTAACGCGATTTGGTAAGATACTATGTCACGGATGTTACCTCCACGGTACTACAAACCGCGGAAGCCATGGATTCGCGGATCATTGGAGTGAACTAACGCAAGGAGATTCCTCTCAGACACAAACCCTGAATTGGCGAATGCCTGAGAGAGATTCAGTGGAGGTAAACCAGCGATGAGATTTGGGTTGGGACACAACGGAAAAGCAAGGTCTGATACGGTGAGAAGGATTTCAGAAAGGTGAAAAGGGCTAAAGAGAGGTTAGACGGTTTGAGGAAGGTGAGATGAGGTGAGCCAAGTTGAGGTGGGTGATGGTAAGAGAAAGGCGTAAGGGATAGGGCTGAACGGCAAGGCGCGGCAAGTCGAGTCGCCTCGCGAATTGCCCTACCGTCCACCCAAACCGAACCAGGAGGAAGGGGGGGGGGGGGGGGGAGTGTTTCCCCCCGTTTCGGCAAGCCCGAGGCGCAAGCCGCTGCAGGGTTCGCTGGCGCGTTGCGCTGACCGTCTGGAATCCGCGGGTAAGTCTGCCGACGATCGGTACTGAAGGCGGGGAGAGGCGAAAATATGATGAGTGAGCGAGATATGTTACTCTGTGGATGCCGATGATCTGACGGCTGAGAACAGCTATCTAGGCTGGGGTGGTATGGTGTGGATGGTACGCCAAGTTACCACCAATCAGATGTCTGTCTCAAGATTCCATGGATGGGTATGCCATAGCCCAATCACGAGGTGAATTTGAATTGGAGGTGTCAGACGACGAATTCAGTCGCTTCTCACGATTCATGCGGGATCCAGCTTTCATACGCGTTTTGATTTTACTTAAGCGAATTATAGTCGGTTACAGAGGTAAACGTAAGTTATTGCTGTCATTTTGTCACACACCTGCCATTACAACTGACCTTTTGTCAAACATTTGAGATTGTTCTACTCACGTAAAAACATACCATAACTTGAGGGGAACCTGGTATGGGGACTCTCAATTCTCATATTTTGCTTTAATACTAGTGCTCTGAACGGCCTGGCCCCGAGAGCTAGGGAGAGAAAATCTTCCGGCCGCATACCGTAACTCCCATGGGAGAGTTTGCCCAAGTTTGTCAATTTTGCTACTCATCACTCGATGCTAGTAACTACATTTCGTCCTAAGGCTCTCCAATCCAAGGCTCTTTTGTCTACCATTGCTCTCAACAGCCTGGCCCCGAGCTAATGCAATGAGAGCTAAGGAGAGCCCAGGAGAGCCCAGGAGAGCAAAGGAGAACGAATCCCTCAGCAGCAAAACTCCCAACAGAGACGGCAAGTAGTTATTTGAATAGCGGATCCCAGGTCTAACCTCCCTCCCCTCCACCCCTCCCCAACCGCTCGTATATTATGTTTCGAGTGTTGTGAAAAGGCACACATACTATTTTTGACAAATGCCGGAATATTGAAATGCTGCTGCTGCTGTTGTACAGGGCAGAATAGGATTCAACAAGAAGCTGCTGCTTGCACAAACCTAAAGCCACAACCACTGGCCCGTCTTCCGCGTGCCTCTCTACACGAGCCCACGCTCCTTGAAGGCAGCGAACATGGCGTTGCCAATCTGAGCAGGCGAGCGCACCACCGTCACCCCTGCACCCTCCAGAGCCTTGATCTTGTCCTGCGCCGTGCCCTTGCCCCCGCTGATGATCGCTGCAGCGCCGTGGGGGAGGAGCAGGTGGAATGCGCGAGCAGGAGAGATTCAGTGTGGGGGAAGATGGGATTGGTGTGAGGAAACAGGAGACGACAGGGGATGCAGCTGTCACTCATTGCCTTGGGTGGGCTCATTGTAAACCAGAAATTACAAACCCTCCCAACCCTCAAATCTCCAGCATGCCCCCTGCACATCTCCCGCGTGCCCCCTGCGTACCTCCCGCGTGCCCCATGCGGCGGCCGGGCGGGGCAGTGAGGCCGGCGATGAAGGAGACAACGGGCTTGGTGGTGCCACTCGCCCGGATGAACTCTGCTGCGTCCTCCTCCGCACTGCCGCCGATCTCACCGATCAAAATTATGCCTGTTGGGGGAGGGGGGGGGGGGGAGGGGGAGGAAGCCAACGGGAGAGTGAGAGGGGCAACCACAGGCAGCCACAGGCAGTCACAGGCGCAGTGGTGCGCGAAAAGCACGGGGATAGCTGGCGTGAGGGCGCAGAGAGACGACATCAAGGAACGATGGGGATGACGCGGATGGATGACATGAGCGGGATGGCATGGACGAGATGGCATGGGGGGGGTTGGCACAGGAGGTAGCATGGAGTAATGACAGCAACAAGTATCAGCCAACCAGCACATCCTTCCCGCTGCACCCTCCATCCCTCCCCCACAGCAGTGCACCCCAAGGCATGGCGGGCCTTGATAAACTTGTGGAGGCAGTCGACGAAGCTGCTGCCGTTGAAGGGTGTGTGTTGAGTCGACACACAATACACCGCAAGGCATGGGTGCGACGGGCGTACCTTCGGTCTGCGGGTCCTTGATGAACTTGTCAAGGCAGTCGACGAAGTTGGTGCCGTTGAATGGATCGCCGCCCATGCCCACGCACGTCGACTGCCCCAACCCCACCTGCGTCGTCTGGTACACCTGCTCCACGCACAGCGTCAGGGACGGGGGAGGGGAGGGATGCAGAGCAGGGAGCGACAGGAGACAGGGCTAGTTTTGAGTCGACTGCCCCAACCCCACCTGCGTCGTCTACTACACCTGCTCCACCAGACATGCGCCACGTCGACGAGTCACCGTGTCACCGTGTCACCGTGTCGGGGGTGTGGAGAGGGATGTAGAGCAGGGAGCGACAGGAAACGGGGCTGCGGGTGAAGCCTGGCACTTCCAGCATGAAGCAGGGATGGGGACACAAGCGGGTTTCAGAAAGAGGACGGAGGGGGCAGGGCAGCAGCTCGGGACAGCGCAGGCGAGAGGCACTTACAGCTTCATAGGTGAGGGTGCCGGAGCGCGAGACGATGCCGATGCGGCCGGGCTTGTGGATGTAGCCGGGCATGATGCCGAGCTTGGCCTCGCCTGGCTTGATGATCCCCGGACAGTTGGGACCGATCAGCCGCGTCTTGCTCTGCTGCATCAACGCCGCCTTCACGCGCACCTGCCAGTGATGATACGTGGCGCATTGGAGAGAGGGACGTTGGAGGGAGGAGCGGGCGTGAAGAGGGGAAGTTGATCGCCGGGAAGCAGCGCATGACGCGCATGCAAGCTTAGCAGGCCCATAACCAATCTGTCACCATGCCATCATGCCATCTGGTCACGGCGCTCACCATGTCGTGCTGCGGGATGCCCTCGGTGATGCACACGACGAGGTCCAGCTCCGCTTCCATGGCTAAGCTGTCATCATGCCACCATGCCATCCTGCCGTCATACCATCACGCCATCCTGGTCCCCGCACGTCCACCAACGCGGCCCTCACCGTGTCGTGCGGCCCTCACCATGTCGTGCTGCGGGATGCCTTCGGTGATGCACACGACGAGGTCCAGCTCCGCTTCCATGGCCTCCATGATCGCCGCCGCCGCGAATGGCGGCGGCACGTAGATCACGGACGCGTTGGCGTCGGTGGCCTTCTTGGCCTCCTCGACGGTGTTGAATATGGGCAAGCCCAGGTGCTCCGACCCGCCCTTCTTCGGCACCACGCCGCCCACCTGCTCGTGTGTACAGGCAAGAAGCGAGAGGTGCATTCAACGTGTGTACAGAGTATAGGCTGGAGGATGGGAATATCGAGAAATTAGTTTGCTGAGAGCAGTTTCGGGAGGATCAGTGGCATCAAGAAGACGGTGTGCGAAGAGCGTCACAGTGGATCGGTGATGCCTGACGTTAGTCAGCGCGGAGTCAGTGTTGTGCGGAAAGGAATGGATTTTCAGAAAGTCAGTAAGGCTACGACTTGGAAGAGATATCCTAGTGGGCGAAGAGAGTCCACCGTAAGTAAGGCTACGTCAGTAAGGATGTCTCCGTGCACGGCTTCATGATGCCGACAGCAGCAACCCATTCCAGTCCGCCGTACTCTTTCTCCGGCGCAAACCAGCCCCGTCAAGAGTCGACGGAAAGAGCAAAAAGGGTTGAAGGAAGAGTAACGACGGAACAATAAAAGATCGCGAAAAAGGGTGGAGACGTCAATGTCGCGCGAAAGCGAATCATGAGCTTTCAAACCCGACGCTGACGGCCGCCATGACAGAAAGCGGGTTCACGACTCACGAAAGCCGACCGGCGTAAATGCTAAGGAAACGCCGTACGTTCAGTCTTTTACTCTCATGGTACAGTCCACCCTCACCTAGCTGAAGACGACGATGACTAAGAGCTCCACTCTCGAGATGGCAAAAAACTACAGACATTCCTGCTTCGTCTTTTCTGCAGATTCATGCGCGAAAATCGGTCTGACCGCAATGACATCGGATGCACATGTTCTTCTGTTCGGTGCGGCAACGGCACGTTGGAGCGTACCATGTTGGTGCCATACTCAATCGCCTGCTCCGTATGAAAGGTGCCGTTCTTTCCGGTGATGCCTTGACACAGCACACGTGTCGTCTTATCCACGAACACCGCCGGCTGGTGCGCTGTCGCCACGGATGACGATGACGACGACGAATACCGACGCGCCTGCGCGGCAGCGCGAAGGAGGGTGGTAACTGCTCGCCTTCCGCTCATGATGGCAAATCGGTGTTTGCAGTTGAATGAAGTGACGGCGAAATGAAGGAACGAATGGAGGATCTCAGGATGAGAGCCGATGCGTTGGGATCTGGTTCGAAATGGCGAACGGTTTGATCGGGGTCGGAGGCGACGGAAGATATTACTGGCGTTACGGCGAGGCGAGCAGCAGAATCCGAGAAGCCGGTGATGGTGGTGGTGATTCTGAAACAAATGGAAGAACAAGAAGAATGGAAGTTGTGGTAGTCGCTGTGGGCGGGCGTGTGGGGCGGCGACGCAAGGGCGACAGCAAGAGCTGGGGGGAAATGGAGGGAAAGGAGTAACAAGCTGCAAGCTGGAAAGGAGGTTCGTCAGGCGTTGCGAAATCACGACTTCGTCTGTTCTCGAACTCGTTGCCAAATGGTAACTCGGCTTGTGTTTAGCACAGAAGCCCGTTGACGCCAGCGGAATTGCAATGACGTGTGGCGTAGCCGAATTTCGGGAGAATCTCTGGGTGCTGGTGGGGGAAAGCAAAGCTCGAGGCTGTCCGCGTCAGCAGGGTTCCACAAAGAGAGGAACGGAACTGACGGTCGTGCCAATGAGAGGCGTTGTTACAGCACACGTCGGGAGGCATTTACGAATCTCTCGCGTGTCTGGAGATTCAGGTCCCCCTCAGCACAACTCAAATCTTGGAAACAATAGTGTAGTTTCTGTGCTTACAAGACCTTCCAGCGTGTTCAAACTAGTACGGTAGCATGTTATTTATGGTCTGTGGGTGAATCTAGGTGCAAAGCTCTACCATCCGACTCTTGATAGTCCCAGCTAGAGGGATTATTTCACTTAGGCCACTATGCTGACATACAGCTGCGGATTGTTGTGCCTAAGGTTCGCCAAAATTGTTAGGCGATTCCTATGATTCCTCTGCCGAATGTCCAACTGGTACAACTCTAGGGGAGAGGAGGTCCACAGTTGAGTGTTCTTGTGGCTTGACTATGAGCATGGGCACATTCTGTCGTCACAGTAAGGCCATGAGCATAATCAGGCAAAACGTTGGGAAAGGGAAACATACCAACAACAGCACGGGAAGCATGATGGGCATGTCAGTGCCATCAGAACCGTGCAAGTCTGTTGACATTTAAAGAATGCATGAACTCGGCACACTGCAAGGGGGAAGAGGAAAGCATTGAGGTGGAAGGGCAGTGCGATGGTGGGGCTCCTACCGCATGGTGAGCACAGTAGTCGCTGACGCTCCCAAGAAGCATCCTGCACAACGCAGGTGCGGCGAAGAACAGCAGCAGACAGCAGGCTATGAACCGACAGGAAAAAGGGCATGACACATGCAGAAAGGCAACTGGAAGGAATGCGGGCTCCGGGAGAAGCAGCGGATGTCAGTGAGAGTATGGCACTTGGCCTGACCAGGTGTATGAATGAGGGGAATGCTGCTGATGGTGAAAAAATAATGCTGAGCTGAACGGCAGAGAGAGCATGGGAGGGGTGAGAGCACAAGCACTGACTTTTTCAATCCAGAGAGCCCTCTGCACCCCATGAGCAGCACGTCGGCCCCGAACTGCTCAGCGGAGTAGCAGATGGTCTCCCGCACGTCCCCTCGTATCACCTCCTGGTGTGCTCACCCCATGCACATGCCACGCATTGAACAGCATGCCCGTGGCGTTACACATGCATACACAAGCCGAGCAGATGCAGTTACACATGCATACACACGTGCACGAGCGGCACCCATGCACGCACACATGCACACACCCATGCACGCACACAGAGAAGATTGCCACATGAAGTGACAGTTTTCAGCCTTTACTAATAGAATGACTGAGAAAATTACAACTATTGCATAAACCGAACCAATTAAATCTGCAGGCCTTATGGACCCCCCGCCCCACCTTCTTGCAGACGATGTGCATGGCGCGCACTTGCTCAGCAAACTCCTCCAGCATCGCATCTGCCTCCTGCAGCTCCGCCCGCTCCAACCGCTCTATCATCTCTGTGCCATGCCACGCCACATGCACGCATGGGGGGATGCAAAAGCATGAGGGTGGGTGGTGATCATCGCATCTGCCTCCTGCAGCTCCGCCCGCTCCAACCGCTCTATCATCTCTGCTCCGTGCCGTTAAACATGCACGGTGGGTGTGACGTTGAGCATCAGGTGGATACAGGATATGGGGATGCACAAGCATGAGGGTGCGATATGGGATGACATTCGTGATGCTGCATGGACATGGGAGAGGAGCATGAGCGATTCTGGGATGCATGGGGAGCAGGGTAGGATGGGAATGAGGCGTTCCTGGGAGGCAAAGAGGCGGGTGCAGTGCAGGTGTGGGCGGCTGACCTTGGTTGTAGTATTCGCCATAGGCGGCCCAGGGGGGTGTGGGCAGCACGGCGAGCAGAATGAGTATGTCGTCCGCCTGACAGAACTCCTCCAAGGCATACCTGGTGAAGGACAGAAAGGGGAGGTGTAGGAGGGGGAGAAATGGAGTGAAATGCTTTGCGGGCATGAGAGAGCGTGGGCGAGCGAGCGACATTGAGAGTATGCGAGAGAAACACGCGTTCCAGGCATGGGGAAGAGCCCATGCACCCCCACATGAAGCACTACCGCCCTCCTGGGGCCCACCTGAGGCTCACCTGAGAGCGAGTCGGGGCTCCACCCAGGGTCCACCTGAGGCTCACCTGGGGCGCACCTGAGGCCCACCTGAGAGCGAGTCGGCTGCCATTGGAGTTATCAACGGCGAGCAGCAGCACGCGCTGGGACGGCTGGTCCAGAGGCGCCTGCTGCAGCGCCTGCTGCTGCTGCAGCTGGTCGGCGGAGGGCGGGGGCGGTGGGCGCACTATGAGCACGGCGCACGTGGCATGGTTCACCACGTAGTCGCTCACACTGCCCAGCATCGCTCTGCGGAGAAGGTGGGCGGGGAAGGGGAGAGGCGAGAGAGAGGAGGGAGGAGATAGGAGAGAGGTGAGAGGAAAGTGGACAGAGGGGTGTGTGAGGACGTGGTGGGAGTGCAAGGACAGGCTTGGGAGTGAGGGGGATATGGGGCGGGAGGGATGGTACGGTTGATTCATGTTGGTAAAATAGCCACATTGCCTCACCTCTCGCCTGCTTCGCTCCTGCCGAGCTACCTTACGCACCCCCTTGCACATCCGCTCAAATGCTATGCCCCTTCCTTTGTTTTCCCCCTCCCCCCACATTCCCCCCCCCTTTTCCCTCCGCGCATTACCCCGCTCACCGCGAAATAGCGCCCATGCCGCGCGTGCCCATGACGATGAGGTCCGCCTTGATCGCCGCGGCCCTCGCCACAATCACCTCGCGCGCGTCCCCCAGCGCGTAGTATCCTTGTGCCGGCACCTGCACCTCGCCGCACATGCGCGCATCAAACGCCCACGTATGTGGACCTCAGTTCATCTCAATCCATCACGCTAGAAACGAATCTTGCAAACAGAAGCATGGTGCATGCCACACAACAGCGCAACATACCTTGGCGGCGTGCGGGTGTGCGCGCAACGCACCTTGGCGGCGTGCGGGTGCGCGCGCAACGCACCTTGGCGGCGTCGGCCTCGGCGAGGTACTTGCGCACGAGAACGGACGCCTCGCTCGACGCGCGCCGCGACATCTCGTCCACCACCGCCGGCGGCACCACCATGTCTGCCGCGCCACGGGCGACACGCAGGACGCAAAGGGACTAAGAATTGGCAGAACGATTATCAGCGTGAAATTGAAGGAGGCATTTTTGCCGTCGCTACTTGCGACAGCCTAAGCTGGCCGATACGGAAATCTCCACGGATTTCATGGGAAATGTAGGATTCGGAGCCGTGTGCCGCGGAGTGTGACTCACCGCCGGCGATGGAGACGCTGAGGTGCGTGGAGTCCTGCACGTGCAGCAGATGCAGCGTGTCGATGCCCGCGCGGCACACGCGCGTGAGCGCGTACTGCACGGCGCGCTCGCTGTTTTCCGACTGATCCACCGGCACGAGAATCGTCTTGGGTATTTGCGACATGGCTGCAGCAGCTGTAAAGTCCGTTATGAATCTAAGCCTTACAACGACCTTCTTGCTCCGGCCTTACGCTCCAGTGAAACGCAGCCTGAATGCTTCGTCCAGTTATAGTTGGAGCTAGCTCTTAGCTATTAGCTCTAATCAGCGTGAGCTTGATTTTCCTGCTCGTCAGGAACTGGCTGTGATCATGGCATGCTATGCGTGAGATTAGCATGGAGAAAAGGCTGTGTGAATTCAAATCACAGATGGGAAGGGCAGGAGATTCGCGAGGGGGGTATGCTTTGCTGTTCTGCTCCGTGGCGTTGGCTCGCGCGCCGTGTTTCACATTCTGCCAGCTAGCCGTTTGTGTCCATTGAGACCCGTTGGATTGTGATTATCCGAGAAGCGAAACGGCCTGGATGGAAGCACGCCCAGCTGTGCTGGCCAGGGCGACCAACAGCTCCAGTGACCTCGCATGGCCACGTCATGCTGGTGTGGCCAAAATGCCAAATACACGAAATACTTCGTAGCTTGCAGCTGTCTTACACTTCAAGTATGAATTGGAATTATCAATTATGTAGTCATGCATACAGACAGATTGTTTGATCAGCTCATGGGGATTGCAAGGCATGAGAGTAGAGGCATGCCCTTCAATCCATATGAGCTCACCACCTGAGATTTCTAAATTTCTACAGTAACCTATACATAGCAAAGTTTGCTTCCCTACACTCATGCTACTTTGGAATGTCTTGTGGATGCCAATTCAACATTCCTGCCCCCCCTTAGCTTGCCAAACTGCAACAGAGCCACAGGAATGAGAGGCAACAGCGTGCCTACCCAACCCATTCCACGGTACGCCACAAGTGTTTGTGAGGCGGAGAGGAGAATGAAACCCTGGGCCGAGTAGTTGGCGCCGAGGAATGAGTAGAGGGAGTGCAGCGTGGCGACTGTGAGGGAGAGGAGGCGCGAGGAGGCGGGGATGGTGCGCTGGTAGCGGTAGATGATGCGCGAGCCCATGATGAGCCACGCCATGTTGAGAGCGAAGAAGAAGTCTCCAATGTACACGCCCTGCAGAGAACAAAGGGGTCATGAGGGGAGAAGGGTAGATGCATTGTCAGGTGCGTGGCACAGTGGGAATCAGGCATGGTACGGAGACATGGCAAGTGCTGAAATTGAATGAAATGTGGGAGGGGGGCATTAGAATCTGGAGTGGAGAAGAACAGCAGAAGGTGCGAGAGGGAGCAGGGCGGAAGGTGGGCTTACATGCCAGACGGCGCTGGTGCAGACGGTGAGTATCAGCGGCAGCACACCTGGCTTCTGCCCCTCCGGTGTCACGCGCTCATAGATGTCTGCACGTCAATGGGTGGGGGACAGGTGTCGAGGGGAAGGAGAGAGTGAGTAAGCTGAGAGGAGAATACAAACAGAAAGCACGGGGCATGCGTGGCGAACGGGGGAGAGGCTGTAGAGTGAGGGAGAAGGGGAGGAGGAGGGAGATGGGGAGGGAGAGGCGGACTCACAGGTGCGGAGCCATTCGCCGGTGCGCACGTTCCAGTTCTTGGCGAAGCCGTGCATGCCCGTCACTGCCTCCACGCCCACGATGTCAATGTTGCGCGCCCTCTTCCAGCTCGCCTCCTTCGCTTCACCCTCCCGCTCCTCCTCCCTCCCTTCCCTCTTCCCCTCCCTCTCCCTCTCCCTCTCCTCGTCTGAGTCGATCTGCTCCAGCTGCGGCACTGCTGCGGCAACAGCCACTCTTGGTCTCGACTTGCTGCTCGTCTTTCTCACACTCGCTCTGATCACAGGCGCGCTGTTCTCATCTTCGTCACTATCCGATAGTATCACATCTCCTGCGACCGCCGCAGTCGTCAGTGCAGGTACGTCCGCGTCACCACCGTTCGCGCTCCTCTCCCCGAGAACCTTCCTCAGTGCCGCGCAATCCGCCTGCGCCGCCAGTCCCCCGCGCCGTCCCCTAGGCTCCGCTTTCTCTCCCCGCGCGCTGCTGCTGGTGCGGCTGCCGTTACTAGCAGCGGCGGCTGCGCGGTGCGGCACCCATCCGCTGAACCCCAGTCCGCTCGCGACCATGCTGCCCTCCGCCACCATCCACACGTAGTAGATCTTCGTACGTACGGCGTACGTCGCCAGGATCGCGTACCCCCATCGCGCCACGTACGAAACAGTCCAGACCTGAGCAGGGTCTGAGGTGATCGCGACGTTCATACGCGGTTTAAGCATCAGGTGAAGAAGCCCCGAAGGTACGGCCCACGCCAGCGCCGTCAAAAGCGGCACCAAGAACGGCGCCTTTCGCTCGGATCGTGACCACACACCCTCGTGCCTCGCCCACTGGAGGTACGGTTTCATTTCAAAGTACGGTCCTGTGAGATGTAACCCGCCGCAGAACATGTAACCCACGAATTCAAGCGGCGAAGGAAGGTCGCGCAAATGCCGGTCCGCACCGCGGATAGGCCGCCGGTTACCAGCGGCACTCGCGGCGGAATCGGCGGCGACAGGGTCGGAGAGGTATTGGCCGTCCTGGTAGTCGAACGCGCATGACGTCAGCTTGAGCGTCACCATCATAAGCGTTCCCGCGAAGTCGATGCCTTGATCTCTGCGCGCCGAGCCGCTATCGTACACAACGTGGCTGAAATGTCGGAGGGAACGGCAGGGAGTGGAAAAAACAGGGACGAAGGGTTCGTCAACACTAGTAACTTTAGGGCGCAGAAGGGATGACGCGAGAGCAAAGCGGGGCTCGAATCACGCGGAAAGACGAAATGGTTGAGGCTTACCATACGATGAGGTAAGCGAATGTGCCGAGCAGAGTGATTATCCCGCATCGTTTCCGATACAAGCACATTGCGCTATAAGCGAAGGTGAGGAGCACAGCATAGTGCGCCCAGATGGTAGAACCGAAAGCAGAGAGCGCGAGAAACAGCCCGGTAAGCGCGCCGATGGCATGGCGTGCGTAGGTGGAGGGGGTGGCGCGGAGGAGCAGGCAGCAGGGGATGGAGAGGAGCGGCGAGACGAGCGAGATGAGTGTGGTGGGCTCTATGCCTAGCTCGGAGAGAATGCTCCCTCTGGACGCCGACGCCATGTGCTTTCGTGAGGTGCGTACGAAAGGAGAAGGGGTGTGCTTGTGTCGCGAGACTTGGAGATCCGTTGCGTGGGTATGGTGTTCCTGTAAATACTTGCCAACGGGTAAGCTGAGACGTGAGCAGGAGGATTGGTAGCGAAGAGTGACGAGAAATGTGGATGGGTTTGCGTGCAGCGCAACCCAATTTATTTGAAATGCGCAGCTCGCGAATTGCGAAATTCTCGCATCCGTGCGGCTGGCCCCTCACTTCGTACGACCCGCGTCGCGTTCCACTTCCCCGCGTTGATGTCTCCCCGACTTTGGAAGCCATCCTTGCCGCCACCGAATGTCGGTGTCGATGACGTGGGATGAACGACCCTTCCAGCAGGTCAGGCAGAGTACTGTACGGTTGATGCGTTTCATGTATTTTGTTTGTTGCTGCGGCAGAGGACAAAATCCAATGGTTTGGATTCGGACACTGGCAGCGAGGGGCCCGTTCAGTCCAGCTGTAACGCGTTTGGCTGGTTGACGTGGTCAACATCACCGAAATTGCGCAAGGCTCATCTCTCTTTCGAATGCGTACGCAGCGCCACATCACACCTACGAAAAGCGCCGTGCATCTTCACTAACGTCAGGTTCGTTCCGCAAACATAGGCGGAAACTGGGAGGGCAAGGGTACATTTCCTCCAAAAACTTTATGACGTTTAAGATAAGTGTCCATGCTGTACACTTGATTAGAAACGCTTCAAACCCTCTCTGCCAAAGTTGACTAGGGTTCGTCTATAAGTTTATGAAAACCTTCAATTTGTGAACGTTGATCTAAAACTCGAGGGAGCAACAAAGGATGAGAGGGGAGAAGGGAGCCAGATGGTGGCGGACAAAATGGGGATCCCTATCAAAGTCCTGCAGACCAGTGGGAGGGCAGTGCGAAATGGGGGAAAGAGAGATTGGGGGCTGGGAGAAAGCAGGACAATAAGGACTTTCCATGGGTGAGCAAATGAGCAAATCAACCCAGTGGGTAACAGTAGCATCCCAACAGTAGCATCCCAACAGAGACGATACTCCACAGCAAGCACTCACCTTCTCTGTCAGTATCAGCAACGGCCCACGCCCACCTGCAGCATTACCCTCGCCTTCTCCATTTCCCCGTCTCATCCCGTGTGCATCCGGGTTTTGCGCATCATGGGAGGGCGTGCTAGGTTCAGGTGCATGTGAGAGGAGGGTGAGTGCTTCTTGCACTGCCCGCACCTCCTGGCCGAGGGGTCACAGCAGACAGGGGGAAAAGAAAGAGAGGGGGGATTAAAGATTAGAAGGAGAGAAGGGAGAGGGGCACAAGGAAGCGGAAAGGTTGTCCCAATTGGCTGCAGGGTTTTTTCACCATGCACATGGGCATGTGGGCACGCATGCATGTGGGCACGTGGGCACGCATGCATGTGGGCACGTGGGCACGCATGCATGTGGGCACGTGGGCACGCATGCACGTGGGCACGTGGGCACGCATGCATGTGGGCACGTGGGCATGCATGCATGTGGGCACGTGGGCATGCATGCGCGCATGCACTGGGCAGCAGTGGATGGCATGACAGGAGCGAGGCAGGGAGTGTGAGCGACTGACCTGGAGGGAGAAGGGCGAGTGGTCGGGCAGGGCAATGCTCACCACCCGCCTCAGGTGCAGCTGGGGGAATGGAGGGCAGAGAGACGGCACAGGGGGGAAATTCGGCGGGGAGGCAAGATGCAGGGGTGATGGACCCACGGGAGCCACTGTGATCAGTACCGCTGTGATCAGTACCGCTGTGATCAGTACCGCTGTGATCAGTACCGCTGTTCAGTACCGCTGTGATGAGTGCCATCAAGTTTTTTTCTACACCCATGTGATATCCGCCCAACTGCCACTCATCCACCACTCCAGCGCCCTCACCTGTGTCTGCAGCGTGGCTTGCAGGGCATCGGGCGAGCCGATGGCAGAGAGACACACGGCATCACGCCCTGCCACGCTCTCACACGCCACCACCCTGTCCCCGCCTCCCGCCTCCCCTCCCTCCCCTCCTCCTTCCCCAGCCCCCCTTCCCCATGGCAGAGCAGCAGGTGCGCGTCCCCCCTGCCCTGGGCGCCTTCCAGGGCTCTGCTGCAACGGAGCTCATGGCACGGGGGGGAGGAGGGCAGGTGGGCAGGGGAGGTAGGCGGAGGATGCGGAGGAGGAGAGAACGTGGAGGGGTTGTCTGGCGAAGTGGGGAGAGAAAGAGGGGGAGGGGAGGAGGCGCAAAGGCAGGGCGAGGGGGAGAGGAGGTGGAGGGGGCGGAGGGAGGAGTGGAGGAGGAGGGCGTGCGGTGACATGTGGTGCTGCAGCTGTGCTGCCAGCTCTGCCACACACGCTGGAGGGGCCTGCGGGCATGGGACAGATGAGATGTGGATGCTGTCAGAGCCGCATATCAATGCCACCCATGATGTTGCTTGTGAGGCGACTGAAACGCACGAGACAGCATTGCATAAAATCATTACGGCATCAATGCAACTGATTGGTCAGCAACGAAGGTTACCAGGTCAGCATTGTGAATCACCACCACATCTGCCCGTTGCAGCGCCTCAAGCCGCTCTCTCATTGGTCCACGTGGCACCAGCTGTCCGTTGCCCCATGGACTGCTGCACCCTGCTTGCCCCTGCCCTTGCACTTGTGGTTGCGCATGCGCTTGTGCGTGGTCAGTGCCGTGTGTGTGTGCATGCGGCTGCAGTTGTGCATGGGGCGGCACGGCACTGAGCATGACAATGTCGAGATCGCGATGCAACGCCCAGTGCTGGTAGGGGAAGAGAGGGGAGGAGGGGAGGGGAGGAGGGGAGGAGGGGAGAATACAGGAGCACGGGGAGGGTACATGTGTAAAACTGAACAATGTGCGTGTTGAACAATGCATGAAAGGAAACGCTGAAGCATGCAGAATTTTGTAGAACGTACATGCCCGGTCATGTGAATGTTGACACACCTGCATGCCATCGTCCATGATCACAGCAGCAACAGGCCCCACAGCACCATCCCCATCCACCCCCCCATGGCCCCTCCCCTCCTCTTTCCTCCCCTCCCCTTTCCTCCCTTCCTCGCTCCTCCCCTCATGCCTTTCCCCCTCCGCTGCTCCCCCTCCCCATCCACTCCACGCCCCAAACTGGCCAATCACTCGCCGTGCCACGTCAGCGCGCTTCCTCCCCACTGCAATGATCACCGGGCGGCCGCTGAGCTGGCGCTGCAGCATGCGCGCCTCGTCACCCCCTGCATAGCCCTTGGAGCCACGTGGCAGGTGGGGCGGGAGAAGTTGAGTGATGGGGGGCAATGAAGGGCAACGAGGGGGGAGGCGAGGAGAGGAATGTGAGGGGGGAGGCAATAGTGAGGAAGGAAGAGCGGGGAATGGAGCAAGGGGGGGTGAAGGTGGTATATCAATAGCTGTTAGGTGGGGCAAGTGGCGAGGAGGGGAGGGTGGGTGCTCACCCGGGAGAGGATGAGGATGGAAGGGGTGCGAGGGGGAGGGGTGGGGGAGGAAGAGTTGAAGGGGGAGGTGTTGGCGGTTGTGGGAGAGGGGGGAGTTGTGGGAGAGGGGGGAGATGCGGGAGTAGGGGAGGAGGAGGTGGGGATGGTGGTGGTGGCTGAGGAGGCTAGTTGTGAGGCCGGTTGTGAGTGCGGGGCGGTGTTGAGGAGTGAGAGGAGGTGCAGAGCGGTGGATGCGACCATGGGCGTTTTGCCAGTGCCTCCCCAGGTGATGTTCCCCACGCTTATCACCGCCACCCACCCTGCCATGCCACTCCCCACAGCAGCCCCGGGGGAGAGGGACGGGAGGAAGAGAGGAGAAGCAGAAGGGGGATGTGCAATGGGGCAAGGAGGGAAGTGCCGCCACCAACCCACTCCCCACCCACTCCCCACTCCCCACACCACTCCCCACACCACTCCCCACACCACTCCCCACACCACTCCCCACACCACTCCCCACACCATTCCCCACACCACTCCCCACACCACTCCCCACACCACTCCCCACACCACTCCCCACACCACTCCCCACACCACTCCCCACACCACTCCCCACACCACTCCCCACACCACTCCCCACACCACTCCCCACACCACTCCCCAATTCACTACCCAAATCACAACTCAGTGCTTCTGCCATACCCACTCCCATATGCGCACCTGCTTCGCTTCCGCCATCCGCGTTGGTACATCTCCCACCGCGCGCGCATCACTGCGCCGTACCCCGCGGCTCCCCCCGCCAGCAGCGCCACCGCCACCGCTCGCAGCGGGCGCGGAAGCCACACGCGCGGACGGGGAAGTCCGCCCTTCGCGGTTTGCGCCTCCCCACGACCCTCATCACCGGCGGAACCTCCTCCTGGAACGCTGGGGGAAGCGGTAAGGGGGGGTTGAGAAGGCGCGGGACATGCGGTCGACGGGTGCGCGGGGGAGATCGGGGAAACGCGCCGGGAGATGCGGGCGACCAATGACGGCTGTGGCGGCTCATAGGCCAGTGTAACTATGACGTCAGCAAGCCATCTCCGCAGCTGCTGCCCCCACGTGGCAGCCCCTGAGTGGCTGGACGCGTGCTCGCTGCACCGGAAATCCCGAGGTGGCGGCTGGCGCGGACCGGCGGCTCGAGAGGCGTCCATCGCATGGCGCGCGGAGCGAGAGGCGCGATCGGCGCGATCGGCGCGATCGGCGCGATCGGCGCGATCGGCGCGATTGGCACGATTGGCGCGCAGTGAGGGGCAGCGGAGGAAGGCGCGCGACGTAGACGCGGAAAGGCATGTGGCGGGGAAAAATGATGTATGCAGTGTGAGGCAACGCGTGACATTTGGGTTGGGATGCGAGAAGCGGGCTTGAGGAATCACTAAAGAGAAGGGAGAAAAATGAAAAGCGAAGGAATGCAAAACTTCTACCGATCACGGTGGGACTCGAACCCACAATCTCCCGCTCCGGAGGCGAGCGCCTTATCCATTAGGCCACGCGACCGTGTGTCCCATTAGTCTTTAAACGTGTATAAAAGTTTTAAAGAAGAGACTTCAGATCATAATCAACCATTTCGAATTTCACATGGCGGAACAGCAAGAGGCGCGAATTCCGGCCGAAATATTTCCCGTGGCGGTCTTAGATGATCCGCCGCTTCCGCAACCTGCTGCCCTACGCGGACGAGGCGGAAGGGCGGGCGGAAGGGCGGGCGGAAGGACGTGGGGAAGGGCGTTTGCACGAGCATGCGGAAGGGCGGGCAGAGGGGGGAGGACAACCATCGCGGAAAAGGTTTTGGCTCAAATTCGAGTTTAAGATTGTATTCCTACGTAGGGACACCATCCGAAGTTGGGACACCTGGTTGTTGTTTTTTTTTATTTTTTTATTTGCTTTCGAATGGAAGTCTACGTCAGATGTTACCCCGTAGTTTGAAAGGCTGGAAAACATCTCATGCCCAATCTTGCGTCAGAAGTAGCTAGTCTCGATGTGTCGGGTGACGAGCGGAGTATGCGAGTCAGATGAACTCACTCAGCCGCACTTACTCAACTGACTGACACTTGAGACGAGCGGTGTACTGACATTGCTAAGAAATTCGTGTGTTTATTTTATAATTGCAACTTTCAGAGCATCGTTTGTAGGTCACGTTGAACTAGGAGAAATAGCCATGCAACACGGAAATTGTCCCAACTTCGCATGGTGTCCCTGCGTTGGAATACAATCTAAGTCTGAAGGTTGCAGGGAAGTTGCAGAAACGTTGCAGAAAGTATCCGAAAAGCTCTGAGTGAAAAATGGAACATGCACCAATTTCGGATACATGTGGCTTCCGAGCCGCGCATGTTGGATACGTGGGGTACCCGAGGCGCGAATTGTGGATACGTGGGTTACCCGAGCCGCGAATTTATTGCATCATTTTCGAATCATCTTCACCGAACAGCACACCTGGTCACGACCAAATCTCTTGAGTCCCCCGTGCTGGTGTACGATTGAGGAACACTGCAGCCCGAATCAGGTGGGCATTGTCGAACGTTGCGAGCACAGTAACTGGGATACAAAATAAAACGAGGCTCGCGAAAAAACAAGCCAGAATCGTAACTGGCAGCTGGCACACAGTTCCATGTCACACCCAAAGTGTTCAGATTCTGTGCAAGTGACGTGGCTTCTCCGAACCACAGGTAACCGGAATTGAGCTATCCTCACGATTTTTTAATGACCAATTACTGGTGTGGTCTAACCTAAACCAGAAATCTACGGCATCCGTGACGACACATCATCACACATTGGAGCTCTAGAAGCATCACACTACGAGTGTATCTCTCCCTAAATCGCTACTTGCCCAGCTGATGTTCACACATCTTGCTCAGGTTATTGTTCCATTTCGACCCACCTCGTGTCTCTGCCGTCCCCTCAGCAAGCGTATACCGTAGAACGTACGTCTTACGTTGTGTATCTAATAAACTAGTGTATGAAGTATCAATCCTTCAACATCTGCCCAGATCTACCGTCTCATCCTTTCATTTCTTTACCCTTTTTTTCTACCTCCCGTCCCATATACAGCTCGTCGCCTTGCTCAACTCACTCGGAAGACGTTCTGCGCGCGAATCGCCGCGGACTCAGCACCCGTCAACCTACGGACGCAGCGACGAAAAGCTCGTTGCCCGGCTGCGGAAGCGCCTTGTTCGGCGCGGAAAGCGCCGGTGTGTGTACTAAACACGTTCAGCTGCATACTGAAATTTGTAAGCATACTGAATCATGTGACGCCCATCACTCCTGTTCTTATCCTCACTCTTTCATTTCTTCTCACGTTTTAGGCTTCTTCTCTTCTCGATTTGGTTCATTTCTTCCCATAATGAATGCAGATCTATTTCCTCCCATTTCAAATTGCACGCCTGTGCCACCTTTAACAGGTTCGTTGTTGTTTTCCTGTGCAGCCTCCCACTACACAAATCGTCTCTACGCTCTCTGCATGAGAGAGAAGGTGTGGTAGTCGCGCGAAGGTCTCTCTCTGCCTCTGATAAGAACCATGCGCGTTTTTAACCCATGTTGTCTGGAATGTAGGCTTTAACGATAACGTTTTCATGTTTGTTGTTCTTAGTCATCGTGTTTCAGGTTTAATATTCATGTGCAGGGTTAATGGAAGTCACGAGATGTTAATTTTCATATGCAGGGGGGTATCAAGATCCAGGCCCTGTGAAGCACAACGACGGCAATATTATCTATCTACGTCAAGGCCCTGGGTGATAAGTCACTAAGGTGGGGAACAAGCATATGACTAACCAAGGTCTAACATTATGTCGTCTTTGTGTTTGCAGGCTTTAAAACGAAGCATGATTTCGCCCTGTGTGACTACATGTAGAACCAGACGCTTAGTGATTGTTGGTTTTAGGTGTTTCGTGTTGACTAAATGTGTATACATCATATGTATGCAGACGTCCATAATATTGTAGATTACCTCCAACCCCACCTGTAACAAATAATCCTTGAAACGAATGGTCCGCTTGTACTGTTCAGACAAATTCTCGGCCAGTAGTATTCAATTTTCGCACACGCGAAGTCTTGTCTGATTGGTCCACGTGGCAAGCTGGCGTTCACATATTGAGAATGACACCTGGCAGAAATATCTTTGCTTACGTGGCAAAATATCTTCGCGAACGTACCGACGTACGTACACTTCGAACTCCAAACTGTACGCATGCCACGTGGCAGGTCGTGAAACTGCATACATGTGATTGAAATGTATCCGACGAGTGTACGCGAAATTGCGGAACTGTTGCTGGAATGCACCTTTCTTGCAACTTTCCTGCAACTTTTTGTCAACTGTCCAGTGACTCGCATTTCTGCAACTGTTGTCCATCACTGCGAAGTTGCAAAACCAAAGTATCCGCCGAGTTACTTTTCTGCAACTTTCCTGCAGCCTACTGGCAAGTCCTTTTTCGCGATGACGAAGAGGAGGAGAAGGGGGCGGCAAATGGGGGACTATCGGGGGCGCGGAAGAGACCGGCGCAGAAGGCGGGGGCTTAGGCGGTGAATTAGGCGCACGCGACGCGACACGTGTCGGGAGGCCATTGGCGCTTCCTTCGGCGGAGGCATTTCTTGGGGCTGGCCTTGCGCTTAAAGATGAGGTGCGGCGATGGCGCTGCGTGGTGAATAGGGCATGATGCATGGGCGCGCGCTGCATGGGCGCGCGCTGCATGGTCGTGCGCTGGTGGATGGGCGCGCGTTGGTGCATGTGCGCGCGCAGCATGGTCATGCGCCCTGGGGTATGGTTGCCTGGGTGCGTGCTCCATATGCGAAACGGCTTGCTGCAAGGCGCCTCATCATGATGATAATTGCGTGCGGGTATGATGTAAGACAACTACCCCACGAGTGCCTCACCTCGCGCCTTCCCCCTTCCACCTCTCTCAGGTGGTCCATGCCACGTGGCGGGACCGCAGGCCTCCACGTGGCAGCAAGACAGACCCTTTCCTATACATGGGCCTGTTGGGTACTGCTTTCGTGTGCCTTCGTACCTTCCACGTCACTCGCAGCAGTGCTGACCTGGACCTCGCTGCTGACATCACTCGAGCTGCTGCTGAGCTGGCAGAGCGTCAGCACCGCGTGTGAGTGCTGTTCACGTTGACTTGCATGTCGCCCCACTCACCTCCCTCTCCGTTCATTCATTGCAGCACCTCTTTTGAGGACCCTCCCTCCCCCACCTCCCGCCCCTCTTAGCCGCAAACCCCTCATCGTTACAACCCACAGACGCCTCCCTCACAGCCCTCGGCTCAAGCGATTCACTTCTCGTTGCCCTCCCCTCCCCTCCCCTTTTCCTGCACCCCCACCCCTGCCAGCTACTATTCTTTCTTTTGCGGGCAGCCCGGAATTTTCGCCCTGGGGGCAGTTGTGGCCCACCTGCAGCGCCGCCAGCACGACAGCGAGAAGTTTCTGCGAAGGTTCCTCGACCTCGTCACTGACGCACTTCCTGCGCTCTCCCAGCGCCCCTCCTCGACCAATGACATTGCGCCAGCTGGCATTCCCTACGAGCTGCTGTACGGGCGGGCGGGCTTGCTGTGGGCGGCACTGTTCATTCGGCAGTATCTGGGGCGGGCTGCTGTTCCTGATTCTGTTTGCCGCCCAATCTTGGAATCAATCATTGCTGGCGGGCGGTTCTTTGTGTTGGTGTTAGCCCTCAATCTCACAATTTGTACTTGTACTTTTATATCCTAGTTTAGTTTAGTGTAGTTTGCACTTTGTGTTTGGTTGGGTGTACACCCACATCCCAACCAAACCCAAATGTAATCTCCAAGCAATCTCCAACCCACCAATTGGAGCTTGCCTTGGGATTACCCTTGATTCCCTAAGATTGCCCCCTAATTCCCCTCTCATCCATACCTTGCTCATTCCTGATGTACTTAAAGAGCTTTGAGCTCACTACTAATGTATCAGTTCTAAGCCTAAGTTCTGACACTTTGCACACGTGTGGTATCCCCCCTCCCAGGCTGTCTCTCCCTCTTCCCATACCCAGTCCCACACTCGCGCTCACTCTCACACTCACACTCACACTCACTCCCCATCCTCACCGCACTCCTCTCCCCACAAACGACGCAAGGAGAGTACGAGGGGCACACCTGTAGCCTCCTCCTCCCCTCCTCCACCCTCCCCCTCTCCCCCCTCCTCCTCCTCCCCACCACCACCAGCCTCCGCCCCTCTCTCTCCCCCCCTCATGTTCGCGTGGCACGGCAAGCGCTACTGGGGGGCAGCGCATGGGCTGGCAGGCATTGCCCACACGCTGCTGCTGGGGGCGGGGCACGTGGGGCAGGTCGGGCAGGTGGGACGAGTGGGCGAGGTAGCAGCAGCAGACGCGGAGAAGGAGGAAGTGGAAGAAGGCAGGGAGGCAGCTGCGGAAGGGGGAGGGGAGGCAGGGGAAGAAGGGAGCAGAGAGGCGGTTGCTGCATTGGAGTGGATGGTGGCTGGCAGGCTGCCGAGCGGCAACTACCCCTCCAGTGACGAGAAACGCCTTGCTGCTGCCGCTGCCACTGCTGGGGGAGGTGGGGCTGGGGGGGATGCAGGCAGGGCGGCAGCAGGAGGGGCGGACAGGCTGGTGCAGTGGTGCCACGGCGCTCCTGGTGTGGCCATGGCGCTCGCCCACGCTGCTACGGTATGTGCTGTCTCTCTTGCTGAGGTAGGTGTGTGCTGCCATCACATCACATCACATCAGTGTGGGCATGAGATTGCTGCAGTGGTGCCAGAGGGCTCCTGGTGTGGCCATGGCGCTTGCCCATGCTGCTACGGTATGTGCCTGTGACTGTGACTGTGACTGTGCGTGTGCCTGTGCATGCACCATGTGCTGGCATCTGTGGTTTCTGTGGAATTCGTTTGCAGTGTGCATGTGAGCTGCGGTGCTGCAGTGGGCTTCCTGCTGTGCACTGCTTGCTACTGGTTCCACCGTGTGACGATTGCATGACTCGCTGCTTTCTGCTTCCACTTAATGGCTCTGCTGTCAACCACTCTGTGCATTCATTCAGCACCTTTGTACTCACTGCTTCTCCATCTCTGTCCTGCCATGCGCATGCCCCGTTTCCTACCCCTACACTGCATCAGTCACACCCGAACAGGCTGCACCTGCTGCCAGCAGCGGTGGCAGCGGGCGAGGTGGTGTGGCATGGCAGCGTTATCATCTCTCTTTGCATGCCCTCTCCCGCCCCACCCCGCCCCACCCCGCCCCTGCACCAGTCACACCTGAGCAAGCATCACCTGCTGGCAGCAGCGGTGGCAGCAGGCGAGGTGGCATGGCAGCGGGGTCTGCTGCGCAAGATGGGGCTGTGCCATGGCATCGCTGGTAACGCCTACGCCTTCCTCTCCCTCCACCGTGCCACCTCCGCTCTCCACGCCACCAGCCACAGGGAAACTGGCAGCCTGCAGGAAACCACCACTCCAGCTCTACCCCCTCCCAGCGTGCACCTGCACCGAGCGCGTGCGTTTGCCGCCTTCCTGCTGGCCCACCGCCCGCGCCTCGCAGGTGCCGCCCTGCTGCACTGCGGCGAACGCCCCGTCTCGCTCATGGAGGGCCTGGGCGGCGTTGCTTGTCTCTTCCTGGACCTGGCCCGGCCTGTCGACGCACGATTCCTAGGGTTTGAGCTGTGATTGCACGAAGGGGCCTTGGGAGGGGCCTTGGCAGGGGCCTTGGCAGGGGCCTTGGGAGGGGCCTTGGTAGGGACGGTGGCAGCAAAATGGAAAATCAAGGAGAAGGAACCAAGGGTCGTGGACTGGCGACTGAGGTTGCAGCATGAACAAGAGAAACAACATGCTAAGCAAAACGGCCAAGACAACAGGAAATGGCAACCTTCAAAAACGAGGTGATGCGAATCAGGAGGAAGGAACGGGGGTGTTCTGTCAGGGCTCAACTTACTTGCTGCTCCAGTCGTGGCCGCTCCTGTTGCTGCTGATGCTCCAGTCGCTGCTGCTGCAGTCGCTGCTGCTGATGGACCAACGCCATGACGCCATGGACTGCCATGACGCCATGGACTGCCATGACGCCATGGACTGCCATGACGCCATGGACTGCCATGACGCCATGGACTGCCATGACGCCATGGACTGCCATGACGCCATGGACTGCCATGACGCCATGGACTGCCATGACGCCATGGACTGCCATGACGCCATGGACTGCCATGACGCCATGGACCAACGCCATGAGACAAGCTCATATCGCCACCACTCCTGCACGGACAGTTTAATGCGCAGCGAGCGAGATACGCCATCGTGAATGAATGTGCAGAAACCGAAATTTGCAGAAACGGAAATGAGCAGTTTGAATGGAAACTAAACACGATCGAGAGAATAATAGCAACTGTTATAGAAATTGAATGATACGAGCAAAAAAAACCGTCATGAAACGAGAGTTTCAATAAAACTCACCACAGCTCGTCTCCGTAGTAGTAGCGGGTCGTGAGCAGGGACATGTTGCGGGTCACATGTTGCGTAGGAACGTCGTGAGCAGGGGCATTCGCGACTTCGTACGGATGTCGCGAGCTTCGTACGGAGGTCGCGAGCTTCGTACAGATGTCACGAGCTTCGTACGGCCGTCGCGAGCTCGCGTCGCAAGCTGCTCCTCCGTCATCGAACGCTCCGCACCACCGCACCCATCGGACACTTCGCGCTGCTTCCGAAGTCACGCGATCACTTTCAATTCCGTCACTTGTTCTCCGAGATCCTTCGTCGCGTCATGTCTTCGTCAGCGTAATGTCTTCGTCAGCGTAACGTCTTCGTCAGCGTCACGTATTCGTCGGCGTCATGTCTCCGTCAGCGTCGCCCGTCAGATCCTCTCCGCCGCAACGCTCCGCGCTCCTTCGTCAGCGTCGGGTGCATTCGTTAGCTTCGCGTAGCAGGCTGCGAGTAATACCGTCGACGGTTTCAGGAGTTTTGCGTCCGAAGCGAAGCGGTTTCAGGAATCTCGAAGCGAAGCGAAGCGGTTTCAGGAATCTCGAAGCGAAGCGAAGCGGTTTCAGGAATCTCGAAGCGAAGCGAAGCGGTTTCAGGAATCTCGAAGCGAAGCGAAGCGGTCTCCTCGGCAGTGACAACTTAATCGAGATGCCGAGAGAAGATCTCCCGTAGAACAAACTGTCAAGTTGTAAAGTCGCACAAGGCGTCATGGCAAGGATTCGTGACGTTCAGGAACGTTTGTCGCATCATGCCGCGTCTAGTCGCATCATCGTGTGCGCAACTATCTGACGCCGCTTCACGTTGATAAGCTTGTCGCGGCTTCACAAAGTTCAGAGCTTTCGTCTCGCGAGCGTGAGAATATCAGAAGAACTTGGATCTCGCGACTCGAGAGATCGCGAGGAAGGCTCGAATAATCTGTTGTAATACGGAGACGAGAATCTCTTTAAAACTTGGATCTGGCGTAACGAACAAACTGAATCACGCTTGACGCGACAAAAATAGGAATCCACCATTCTGCACCTGACGGTCATCCAGTTGCACCTAGTTGTGAGACTAAGCTTTCTTACTAGGCTCCAAAACTTCCTACTACTATCCTAATGGTTAACCTTAGGATTTACGTGCTTCGGTAAGAGCCACGCCACGAAAATGACCTCCACGGTACAGCTAACCGAGGAAGCCATAGATTCCCGTCAATCGAGTTACCTAATCACGGAACATGTCTCTGAGACACAGCATGGCGAAAGCCTGGGAGGGATTCAGTGGGGGTGGACTGAGCAACAAGGTTTGGGACAGGGAGGTCCGGTACGGTGAGGAGCGTTTCAGCAAGGTGAAAAAGGTGAGATCAGGTGGGGCCAGGTGAGATTCGATGAGGCTGTGGGTGGTGAGAGAAAGGCGGAAGGGAACCAGCTGAGCGGCAAGGAGCGGGAAGTCGAGTCGCCCCGTGAAGTGCCCTCCCGTCCGCCCAAGGCGAAGGGGTGGGGGGGGGGGTTTCCCCTCATTTCGGTAAGCCCGATGCGCAAGGCGCTGCAAAGTTCGCTGACGAGTTGCGCGGGTAACTCCGCTGACGGTCTGTGCCGAAGGCGAGCGATTGAAAGTGGTGCGAGTCAGTCGTGAGACATAGGCAGATTTTCGCGGGCAAAACCGCTGTGTGCGAAATTATGCCTGAGAGATATGTTACATGGGATGTCGGATGATCTGACGGCTGAGCACAACTATATAAAGTGGATGATCCGTCATTGGCATGATGTGGATGGATAGTATGGTTCGGCCAACTTCATTGATACTCAAATTATGCCTGACGCGGTTTGCAAGCGTACTCAACTTCGATTTCTCATCGCTGATTGGTTCTCGATTTTCAATCACACTTTTCAGGCCAAAAAAACCTCCGACATGTCATAGAAACGGAACGCGATAACCGAACTTAACTAGACAATATTATGTGGAGGTGCTACCTTACAATAGAGAAAAAAGCATTGAATACTCAACCCTTTACAAATAAAATTTTTATAAAGCGCGAATTTCGTTAAGATAAAAAGCCCATAGGAAAAAATGCAGATGAGGAATAACTTAATGGAATAGGGTCGACGACATAATGCGACAAGGTTTTAAGGGTTGATGCCATCCCTAATGGATGCCTTTCAGTAGGAGGGCTGTTTTTTTATTGCCTTTCGGGTAGCAAGCTCCGCATATAAACCTAAACACTAGGCGACATCCCGTATTTAGGGTTGACATTACCAGATTATTTCTTGGTTATCCAAGCGTTTTAGTATGTTTCCTTTTTGGTTGGGTATGTGCGGACCTGCTGGTGGCGACTTTGTTTCAATATTGTGCTTATAATGTTAAAACAAGTATTTGTACTGACTATAATGCGAAATTGTTGGTTGAGTACGCTTGCAAACCGCGTCAGGCATAATTTGAGTATCAATGAAGTTGACCGTAGTATGGTTTGTTACCACTATGCAGCTTCGAGTTCCCATTGTGTGGGTGACATGGCCCGAGCCGCGACGTATGTGTCAGACCAATCAGTTCAAATTTGAGCTGGTTGTCATGCCAAGCCAATCATCTGGGAGGGATATCCCCGCTTTGGAATTTTTGTAGATAAAACATAAACGAGTGCAAAGTAAAGCGTTAACTGTTTATTACTTCGCTGTCTACCATACTCATTAATACACCTGCCATTGCAACTGATCCTGCTCAAAACACATACGAGATTAATCAAGCCTTATGCGAATTTTAAACGTGCGTAAATTGAATCCTTCTTTTTGCAGGATATGAGATGCATAATACAATGCTAAAAACACCATCAATCCATTACCTTGATGCTTGTTTCACAATCCTCTCCAGTTACTTGATGCTCGTCTTTTTTCTGCGTCCTGCGTTATTGAAGGTATAGTAAAATGTCAGGCGGCACCATGATTATATTCACTCCATGCACCACCATGTGTGCATCCGTGTAGAGGCCTGGCAGCACCACTCGTACACTCCCTTGAGCTCCCAACAGTGGCTTGCCCAGCACGGTACCCTCCCCTTCCACTTCTCTATCTCCATCTCCTCAAACCCTGTTGTGAACTGCATGTGCACCACAGGGGGTGGGATGAAGAGGGGGAGGAAGGAGCCCAGGAGAGCCAAGGAGAGCGAATCCCACAGCAGCATAACTCCCATGGGAGAGTGGGGGTGGGGCTCCCATAAGCAAAACTGCAGCTGCGCACCCCTGAGTCTTGTTTGTTCCTCCCAATACTGGCCTACGCCCGTCTACCCCCCCCTCCCCCTCCCCCTCCCCCACGCCGCACTCCTCCCCCTCCCCCAGCACTTCCCCCTTGAGCGGCTGGAGGAGCATCGGGGCCAGCGAGGGCTGTGAGGACGTTGAGCACGAGCAAGCCCCCCGCCATGATGAATACCCACTGGTGGTATGGGCACAGGGAATGGGGGAGTTGGGTCATGGGTGGAGACAATGTATACAAAAGGTGAGTGACCAGCGAGGGCTGTGAGGACGTTGAGCACGAGCAAGCCCCCCGCCATGATGAATACCCACTAGGGTTATGGGCACAGGGAGGGGAGAGCAAACGAGGCATGAATTAGGGAGTGAGGACGTTGAGAACAAGCAGACCGCCCGCCATGATGAACACCCACTGGTGGTATGGGCGCAGGGAGGGGATGAGGGGAGATGAGAGACAAGCGTCATGGTGTGAGCAAGGGGCATCGGGGCCAGCGAGGGCCGTGAGAACGTTGAGATCGCGCAAGCCCCCTGCCATGATGAACACCCACTGGCATCGGGGACAGAAGGAGCAAGGGGAGGCGCAGGGTAGGGAATGGGAGATAAGGAGCAAGCGAGGGCTGTGATGAACACCCACTGGTGTCATGGGCACAGGGAGGGGAGGGAGATGGGTCATGGGTGGGGAAAATGTATACAAAAGGTGAGTGACCAGCGAGAGCAGTGAGGTTCAGATGAACACCCACTGGCATTGACGGGGGGACAAGAGACAGGGGTTACGGTGTGAGTGGGAGGCGCCACTAAGCAGAGAGAGGGCACATCAGGCGGAACTAAGCAATCCGCTGCAAGCCGCATTGGTGATGGAGTGAGACGGGCGGAGGAAGGAAGTGGGTGTCCAAGTGAGGACCCAGCAAAAGTGTGGTAATGGTAGTGAGCACCAGAAGGAAAGAGACGGAAGCAGGGAAGGGGGATGGGAGAGTATAGGTGCGATGTAGCCTGACGAAATAGCAAGGAACGAGACGGGGAAGGGAGAGGGTTGCGGGAGGGACAGGAGAGAGGGGCATGAATGTGCCATGCGCCGTGCCAAGCGCCATGTTTTAATCACGCCCATGACAACCCCATGTAGCCGCACATGCCAATGCCAACCCCATGCCACCGCACCCCACTCCACCCCCCCGCGCCTCACATATTTCTGCCAGAACGTCTTGGGCGGCACTGGGGGGGGAGCCATTGGGTCCTCCTCTCCGCCCACATGCCAAGTGCCATGGTGCAATAACGCCCATCCCAGCCCCACCCATCCCAACCACCCATCCCAAACCCATCCCAACCCCACCTCACCGCACCCCACCCCCCTGAGCCTCACATATTTCTGCCAGAAGGTCTTGGGCGGCACTGGGGGCGCCATAGGGTCCTCCTCTCCGCCCATGCCCCCCCCTGCTGCTCCCCCTGCGCCCACCGCGCCCCCCCCCATTGGGGCCCTGCGCACAGGCAGGCTGCAGACGGACAGGAAGGGACAGGAGGAGGGGACGGGGATGGAAGAGCGAAAGAGAGGAATGAGGTTGGAGGTGTTAAGTGGTTGGTGGGGGTTATGTGTAAACGCATGCATGTATAGATGTACCCATGGAGCATTGATGCAGACAGGGATGCATTGGCATGGTGGGGGTATGCGTGCACTGGACGCATGCATGGGGCAAAGGATACACTGTCAGGCATGGATGGGGACGCTAAAGTGGAGCAGTGTACGATGTGAGGCATGCGTGCATGCTGTTCGCATGGACCCATCAGCAATGGTGCAGGTATGGATGGAGACGTTAAGTGGAGCACTGCACGTTGAGAGGCATGCTGTTACTTTTGAGAATTCTCAAAATGAATCCATCCGCAACAGTGCAGGTACGGATGCTGACGTATGCTGATGGACATGCATGCATGGGCGCACCGTTGGGCGATGGTGCTGGCATGAATGGTGACGTCAGAGTTGAGTACGATAAGAGGCACCGCCATCACCGCCTGGTTGGTGGCATGGCATGTGATGGGCGTACGGGACGGAAGCAAGGGAGAATGGGAGGGTAAGGGCATGGGGGCATGGGAGGGTAAGGGCATGGGAGCATGGGAGCATGGGAGCATGGGAGGGTAAGGGCATGGGGCATGGGCACACAGTTGGGTACGATGAGAGGCACCGCCATCATCACTGCCTCAAGGGTGGTGCATGGCATGTGATGACATGGGATTGAGATGGATGGGATGGGTTCGGATGAATGTGTGCCATAACACACGGGCTCATGGTGAGGCATGTGGGGCATGTGTGCCAAATTCGCATTAACCCTCACATCGACATCGAGAGCGGCAGTGGAGGCTGGGGTGCACCCCGCTTGCGCTTTCACATGCGCTGATATCAGCCTGCCACCCGCATCCTGCACATGCCATGCGGGGGGAACAGCATCGATAGCCATGCTTGTAATGTCCGGGGATGTGAGATTGGGAGGTGCTGGGTAGCTTGTACTTTCACGTGGGCTGATATCAACGTGCCGCCCGCATCCTCCACATGCCATGCCGAGATAACAGCATGTTAGAGGTTCGAGACATGCGGTTAAGGGATTGCAAGTGTAGGTTGAAAGGCTGGGCATGAAGGCATGATGACTTGCATTGCATGATGACGCCGGGAAGGAATGGCATGCAAGGAGAATCAGAGTTGGGAACAAGGAATCAGCAATGGCAATGGCATGCATGGGAAGAATGAGAATCAGGAACGCCAGCTGGTCTCACGAATCAGGAACGCCAGCTGGTCTCAAGAATCGGAAGCGGGTCTCACAAAGAGGAGGTGCAGCGAGTCGCGAAAGCCAGCTGCAGCAAGGCAGCGCTGATAGGCAAACGCAGGGGTTGAGAGGGGTTACAGGGGATGGCAAGGGTGGCAGGAAAGGCAAGGGAAGGGGAATACGGAATTGAGACGGCGGCACGGTGGATGGGAGTGGGAAACAGTGAGCATGGCGAGAGCAAATGAGTGAGTGTAAAGCGAGGGGGAAAACAGGGTACGGAATGAGACGGCGGGTATGCTGCACGGTGGATGGGGGTGGGAAGCAGTGAGCATGGCGGAGAGCAGGAGACTGTAGGACAAGGGGGGGAGGAAGTCTGCAGGGAGTAAAGCAAGGGGGGTTTGATGGTGAAAAGGACACACATGTAGACCACGGTCAGACTCACCAAATGCCGCACTGCCCCATGGTCACCCAGACACTCTCTAAGCAACCTTCCCCCAAGCCCTTCCTCCTTTCTCCCCGGTCCCCCCCACCCATGCCTCACTGCCCCCCCATCGCTTCCCCGCGCAACCCCCTGCCAGCCCCACGGCGTCCCCCCAAGGCTCACCGCGCGGCCCCATGCGATGACGTGGCCCTGGGGCGGGGGAGCGGCGGAGAAGGGGTTGGGCGCAAGGCGCACGCGGTAGTCCCCGTCCGCCGCCACCAGCGCCTTGAGCGCGCCCGCCTCGCCCGCCGTCAGCGGATGCCAGATCACCGTCGCTTCCACCCACTGCCCACGCGCGCGCAGGTGAGGGGGGACCGGGGAAGTGGACGGGGAGGGTGGGAATGGAAGGGGCGGAGCGGATCAAAGGAGCGGAGCGGATGAATGAGGCGGACGGGGTGGAAAGCGCGACGATTAGGGCAGGAAAGAGGTGGATCCGCGGGAAGGGCGCAAGGGGCATGAGGGGTGCGACGCCTACAGTGGTGTCGGCGCCGTGCAAGACGCCTTGCATCATTACAAGCCCCCCCGGTAAGAAGCTATTGCTGTCGGCCGGATCGAAGCTTCGTTCCACCGCCAGCGCCGCCGGGATCGCCGTGCCCTTCCGCCTCGCGCCCCGCGGAGGGGGAGTTGGCGCGAGATCCGCGCTCGATCTCGCGCCCGCGCCGCCGGGCGCGGCGGATGCATCGTGGCCGTCGAATTCGTCGTCATCTGCGTCGTCGTCGGCGTCGCCCCACCCGTCGTGCGACGACGCTGCGATCGCGGACGCGGCGACGAGGGAGAGAAGGAGCAGGAGGAGGAGCGACGGTCTGTGGGCGCGAAGCAGCGACATCGTGAGTACGATCGGCAAGATCGCTGACACTAGTGGCTGCTCGAGAATTAATTATTCCTCTTTAAATAACAGCTGTTCAGTTGGCACGGGGGTGTAGCTCACATGGTAGAGCGATCGCTTTGCATGCGATAGGTACGGGGATCGATACCCCGCGTCTCCAATCATTTACTTTTGCCCTAATCCTGGCTCCAGAAGTCCACTGTTTTAGCTCCCTATGTTCCTTTGCCCTGCTCCCTTTTGCCCTTGCCCTGCTCCCTTTTGCCCTTGCCCTGCTCCCTTTTGCCCTTGCCCTGCTCCCTTTTGCCCTTGCCCTGCTCCCTTTTGCCCTTGCCCTGCTCCCTTTTGCCCTTGCCCTGCTCCCTTTTGCCCTTGCCCTGCTCCCTTTTGCCCTTGCCCTGCTCCCTTTTGCCCTTGCCCTGCTCCCTTTTGCCCTTGCCCTGCTCCCTTTTGCCCTTGCCCTGCTCCCTTTTGCCCTTGCCCTGCTCCCTTTTGCCCTTGCCCTGCTCCCTTTTGCCCTTGCCCTGCTCCCTTTTGCCCTTGCCCTGCTCCCTTTTGCCCTTGCCCTGCTCCCTTTTGCCCTTGCCCTGCTCCCTTTTGCCCTTGCCCTGCTCCCTTTTGCCCTTGCCCTGCTCCCTTTTGCCCTTGCCCTGCTCCCTATGTACCTCCCAAAGCAGGTTGTGCTGCTGTAGTCATCACTGTTCCACACCTTAATTTCCCCAGCATCGCACTCTTCACGTATGTTAAGCTCTGTGTGCTTCAAGGGTTGTAAATGCTAGAGGCACGAGAGAGAATCAATCTGCTTGTACGGTAACTCAAGTTTCGTGCTTCACTAGGGACACTAGTGTCGTGACAAGGACTTGTGTTGAGCAGCGAGCAATGGCAGGCGATCATGCCATGATGATGCCTCGTCATCGTCACTCGTGCTGCTAGCCTGTCATGACACGGACTCGTGCTGCATTCTGTTACTAGGGTAACCCTGTCACGACAAGGATTCATGTTGCTTGAGCACGAGCAGCATGTTGAGCAGCGAGCGCATGAAGATATCGAGCGGCCCCGGCACGCAGTACATGTAGCAGTCGATGGCGCCACTCAGCTTGCGCAGATGGCCGTCCGGCCGCATGGAGAGCGGCGTGTCGATGTCCAGGTATATGCCACCGTATTCCTGGAGGGGAGAGGGGAGATGGGTAGATAGGGGTGTGTGGATTTGGTATCGAGCGGCCCCGGCACGCAGTACATGTAGCAGTCGATGACGCCACTCAGCTTGCGCAGATGGCCGTCCGGGCGCATGGAGAGCGGCGTGTCTATGTCTAGGTATACCCCGCCGTACTCCTGGAGGTGGGGGATGGAGGGATGGGGCAGACTGGGGTTGGGTACCCACTGGAGGCACGTAGTACACAAGGGCCTTGAAAAGGACCTCAGCATGCCTGCAGTCCACATGGCTTGTTCGAGTCGACTGAAAACACACAGTGCACCTCACAGCACCCACCTTCATGATGGCACGCGCAGCAGCGTTCTGCTCGAGCGCAAAGTCCCACGGCAGGGTGGCGCCGCCCTTGCCCGGTACCTCCTTGAGAGGGCCCTCCGCGCGCCCACAGTCCACATGGCCGCGCCACGTGCTGCGGAACACCACCAGCACATCTGGAGCAAGCTGCCGCAGCAGCTGCATCGTGTCTCTTAGACTCTCAATGTACCGCTTGGCTGGGGATGGGAAAGGGGGGGCAGGGCAGGGGGGTGTGGGGGCAGTGGGTGAAGAAAGGCACGGCCTTCTTAGACCCTGACCCCCCTTCTTAGACCCCCCTTCTTAGACCCCCCTTCTTAGACCCCCCTTTCTTAGACCCCCCTTCTTAGACCCCCCTTCTTAGACCCCCTTCTTAGACCCCCCTTCATAGACCCCACTTCTTAGACCTCCCTTCTTAGACCCCCCTTCTTAGACCCCCCTTCTTAGACCCCCTTCTTAGACCCCCCTTCTTAGACCCCCCTTCTTAGACCTCCCTTCTTAGACCCCCTTCTTAGACCCCCCTTCTTAGACCTCCCTTCTTAGACCCCCCTTCTTAGACCCCCTTCTTAAACCCCCCTTCATAGACCCCACTTCTTAGACCTCCCTTCTTAGACCCCCCTTCTTAGACCCCCCTTCTTAGACCCCCTTCTTAGACCCCCCTTCTTAGACCCCCCTTCTTAGACCTCCCTTCTTAGACCCCCTTCTTAGACCCCCCTTCTTAGACCTCCCTTCTTAGACCCCCCTTCTTAGACCCCCCTTCGCAGACCCCCCTTCTTAGACCTCCCTTCGTAGACCTCCCGTCTTAGACCCCCCTTCTTAGACCCCCCCTTCTTAGACCCCCCTTCTTAGACCCCCCTTCTAAGACCCCCCTTCTAAGAACTCCCTTCTTAGACCCCCTTCTTAGACCCCCCTTCTTAGACCCCGCTTCTTAGACCCCCCTTCTTAGACCTCCCTTCTTAGACCCCCCTTCTTAGACCTCCCTTCTTAGACCCCCCTTATTAGACCCCCCTTCTTAGACCTCCCTTCTTAGACCCCCCTTCTTAGACCCCCCTTCTTAGACCCCCCTTCTTAGACCCTCCTTCTTAGACCCTCATTCTTAGACCCCCCTTCTTAGACCTCCCTTATTAGACCTCCCTTCTTAGACCTCCTTTCTTAGACCTCCCTTCTTAGACCCCCCTTATTAGACCCCCCTTCTTAGACCTCCCTTTTTAAACCTCTCTTCTTAGACCCCCCTTCTTAGACCCCCCTTCTTAGACCTCCCTTCTTAGACCTCCCTTCTTAGACCTCCCTTCTTAGACCTCCCTTCTTAGACCTCCCTTCTTAGACCTCCCTTCTTAGAACTCCCTTCTTAAACCTCCCTTCTTAGACCTCCCTTCTTAGACCTCCCTTCTTAGACCTCCCTTCTTAGACCTCCCTTCTTAGACCTCCCTTCTTAGACCTCCCTTCTTAGACCCCCCTTCTTAGACCCCCCTTCTTAGACCTCCCTTCTTAGACCCCCCTTCTTAGACCTCCCTTTTTAAACCTCCCTTCTTAGACCCCCCTTCTTAGACCCCCCTTCTTAGACCTCCCTTCTTAAACCTCCCTTCAGACCCCCCTCTCTTAGACCCACGCTCTTAGACCCACGCTCTTAGACCCACGCTCTTAGACCCACGCCCTTAGACCCACGCTCTTAGACCCACGCTCTTAGACCCACGCTCTTAGACCCACGCTCTTAGACCCACGCTCTTAGACCCACGCTCTTAGACCCACGCCCTTAGACCCACGCCCTTAGACCCACGCTCTTAGACCCACGCTCTTAGACCCACGCTCTTAGACCCACGCCCTTAGACCCACGCCCTTAGACCCACGCCCTTAGACCCACGCCCTTAGACCCACGCTCTTAGACCCACGCTCTTAGACCCACGCTCTTAGACCCACGCTCTTAGACCCACGCTCTTAGACCCACGCCCTTAGACCCACGCCCTTAGACCCACGCTCTTAGACCCACGCCCTTAGACCCACGCCCTTAGACCCACGCCCTTAGACCCACGCCCTTAGACCCACGCTCTTAGACCCACGCTCTTAGACCCACGCTCTTAGACCCACGCTCTTAGACCCACGCCCTTAGACCCACGCCCTTAGACCCACGCCCTTAGACCCACGCCCTTAGACCCACGCCCTTAGACCCACGCTCTTAGACCCACGCCCTTAGGCCCACGCCCTTAGACCCATGCCCTTAGACCCATGCCCTTAGAAACACCACAGACGCGTTCCACGTGAGCAGAGGCATGTTGAATAGATAAAGCACTCATGAAGAGCATATGGGGAGGGCACATGGTGGGTGCACATGGGGCATGGGGAGCACATGGGGAGCACATGGGGAGCACATGGGGAGCACATGGGGAGCACATGGGGAGGGCACATGGTGGGTGCACACGAGAGAACGCACACGCACTGGGCCGCAGCTGGGCGCCCTTGTTGATGATCACCACAGACGTGTTCCACCCCTGCAGGCGTTTGATCCACCGCTTGTTGTACTTGCCGCCCCCAGGTAGGTCCGCGGACAGCAGGTTGTTGTGCACCACGCGCATGGTGAAAGTGGCTCCTGGTGAGATGTTGGAGCAGAGCGTGTGGCCCTCGTCCGCACAGTCTGGCTCGCCCTCTCGCTCCCTGTGGGACGGGTGTGGGGCACAGGGAGGGGTGTCAGGGGGTGGGCGGACAGCAGGTTGATTGTTCCAAGCGAGCAGGCACGCTTGATCCACCGCTTGTTGTACTTGCCACCGCCTGGTAGGTCCGCGGACAGCAGGTTGTTGTGCACCACTCGCAAGGTGAAGGTGGCTCCTGGTGAGACGTCGGAGCAGAGCATGTGGCCCTCGTCCGCACAATCCGGCTCGCCTTCACGTTCCCTGTGGAATCAGGTGCAGGGCAGAGTGCAGGACAAAGGGGACCAGTGATTAGAGGCAGGTGAACGGACAGCAGGTTGTTGTGCACCACGCACATGGTGAAGGTGCTGCCCTGGGGTGCGATGTCCGAGCAGAGCGTGTGGCCCTTGTCTGCGCAGTCTGGTTCACCCTCTCGCTCCCTGTAGGACGTGTGCGGAGCACGGGGCACATGGGGTGCAGGACAGACAGGGAGCTAGGGGTTGAGGCAGGTGGGCGGACAGCAGGTTGTTGTGCACCACGCGCATGGTGAAAGTGGCTCCTGGTGAGATGTCGGAGCAGAGCGTGTGACCCTCGTCCGCACAGTCTGGCTCGCCGTCTCGCTCCCTGTATAGGGATAAGCACAGAGCACAAGGGTTGCAGGACGAACCTAAGAAGGGGACGAACCTAAGAAGGGGACGAACCTGAGAAGGGGACGAACCTGAGAAGGGGACGAACCTAAGAAGGGGACGAACCTGAGAAGGGGACGAACCTGAGAAGGGGACGAACCTGAGAAGGGGACGAACCTGAGAAGGGGACGAACCTGAGAAGGGGACGAACCTGAGAAGGGGACGAACCTGAGAAGGGGACGAACCTAAGAAGGGGACGGACCTGAGAAGGGGACGAACCTGAGAAGGGGACGAACCTGAGAAGGGGACGAACCTAAGAAGGGGACGAACCTGAGAAGGGGACCAACCTGAGAAGGGGACGAACCTGAGAAGGGGACGAACCTGAGAAGGGGACGAACCTGAGAAGGGGACGAACCTGAGAAGGGGACGAACCTGAGAAGGGGACGAACCTAAGAAGGGGACGAACCTGAGAAGGGGACGAACCTGAGAAGGGGGCGAACCTGAGAAGGGGACGAACCTGAGAAGGAGACGAACCTGAGAAGGGGACGAACCTGAGAAGGGGGCGAACCTAAGAAGGGGACGAACCTGAGAAGGGGACGAACCTACGAAGGGGACGAACCTGAGAAGGGGGCGAACCTGAGAAGGGGACGAACCTGAGAAGGGGACGAACCTGAGAAGGGGACGAACCTGAGAAGGGGGCGAACCTGAGAAGGGGGTGAACCTGAGAAGGGGGCTCTGAGGGGAGACGTTTGCGATTCCTCTAAGGCACTCACTACGCGTCTTCCAGATTGCCCATCTGGTCCACAGATTGAAGCGAGTACATGTTGTTGAGAACCACGTCGTGCAGCAGCAGCTGAGTGCATTGGAGATCGGTAGCAGCAGCTGCACTAGAGTGACTCTGGCGACTTCTCCCAAGGAACTCACCAGGCATCCTCCAGATTGCCCATCTGGTCCACTGCTTGCAGAGAGTACATGTTGTTGAGAAACACGTCGTGCAGCAACAGCTGGGTCCCATCCCCCACCATGACCACGTTGCGCCGGGCCAGCAGGCGGCACAGCTTCTCCCGTGTGAACGGCACGTAGGGCGGACACCCCCTCCCCGTGGCCGGCTTCCAGTCCCACAGCAGCTCTGGCCGCACTTTCCAATCCGCCGGGCTGCCATTTGTTCGCACTATCTCGTCTGCCACGTCACCCATCACACCCCCAGCTCTGTGGTTGGAAGGATAGGGGGCAAGGTAGGGATGGAGGGGTATGGGATGGGGTGAGGAAGCCGGCTCTCCTTCCAGTCAAACAGCAGCTCTGGGCGCACCTTCCAGTCCACCGGGCTGCCGTTGGTGCGCATTATCTCGTCCGCTACATCGCCCATCACCCCTCCCGCTCTGGGTTTGGGAATGAGAGAGGCGGAGAGGGGGTGAGTTGATGGGATGAAGCGGGGTGGAGTAAGAGGCACCATGTGCAGGATGTCACACGTGGCCGGCCAATCAACTCACTTGATCCATCCAACTCACCACACACTCCAGCCATCAACTCACTCGGTTTCATGTGCCATAATGGGGGCAGCTGTGGGTCTGTAGTTAACTCAACACCCCACTCGGTCCATACGACCCACCACACCGTCTCAAGCCACTCAACTCACTCGGTCTCGTGCAGCACGTTGCACATGCCATCGTGGGATGGGAAGGCCAGCCATCACCACACAGGCCAGCCATCACCTCACTCGGTCTCATGCAGTATGTCACACGTGCCGTAATGAGGAAGCTGGGGGTCGCTGTTGGGGTTGCGGCTCCACTCGTGAGGCGACTCATCACTTACACACAATTCCACCCATCGACTCACTCGGTCTCATGCAGCAGGTCACAGGTGCCGTAATGAGGAAGCTGTGGGTCGCTGTTGGGGTTGCGGTTCCACGGCAGCACCCGCATCTCCTCATTCGCCTTCCACCGCCCGTCCTTCACAACACACTCCAGCGCTCGATGCACTGCCTCCACTGCCGCTCTCCCTTTTACCATGCTGCCGGGAATATGATCCATCATGGGCTCTGATGGCAGGTACAGAGCGGGAAGAAAGATAGGGGAGGGATGGGGGGGACTCTTTATTCCCTCACCACAAACTCTAGCGCTCTATGCACTGCCTCCACCGCAGCCCTGCTCTTCACCATGCTGCTGGGAATATGATCCATCATGGGCTCTGGTGCGGCCATGGGGAGACAGGAGAAGGGAAACGGGGGCATAAGGGAGATGATGGTGCTCGGTCAACTGCCTCCACTGCTGCCCTGCCGCTCACCATGCTGCCGGGAATGTGATCTACCATGGTCTCTGATGGCAGCAGGTGCGGTCCAGAGGAACGGCAGACAGAGGAGAGGGTGAGCGGGGGAAGGGGGACGGAAGGATATAAAGTCGACCTTCGTCTGTCAAGCAATGCCCGTACCTCATCAGCCACCAGAGAGGGGTGGGGAGAGGAGAGTGTGGGTGTGGGAATGAGCTCTCACAAGAGACAGCATCCATGTCCGCTCACTCACTTGCACCCTTGCTGCCCACCTTCACTCTCTTCTGCCGCTGCTTTCGCTTCTGCCTCGCTCCCCTCTCCTCCGCCTCCTGCGCTCTGCCCCTCCCCGTCCTTCTGCTCCTCACCACCACCACCTGCCACCGCCTCACCCTCTCCTGCAGGCTGTTCCCCTTCCCCTCCCTCCCCACTCCGCTCAAACGTCCCACCCCCCACCTCCACTCCGCCCAACTCCCCACTCCTCGTCCCGCCTTCTCCCCCCCTCTCTCCGTCTCCTCCCTCCTGTCCACCCTCCTCCTGTCCGCCCTCCTCCTGCCTCTCAAACGTGCCGTCTGATACCTTAGCCCCACCAAGCTCTCCATCCCCCTTCCCCCTGCTATCATCCCCATCCTCCCCCTCTCCTTCGCTCTCCTCCTCTTTTCTCTCAAACGTTCCCTCATCCACCTTACCTCCGCCCAACTCCCCTTCACCTTCGCCTTCACCCTCACCTTCGTTTTCGAACGTCCCCTCATCCACCTTTGCCCCTCCCAGCTCGTCTTCCCCTCCGCTCTCCCCTCTCCTCTCAGTCTCCCTTTCACCCTCACCCTCACCCTCACCCTCGCCCTCCTCCTCTTTTCTTTCAAACGTTCCTTCATCCACCTTCTCTCCTCCCAATCCCCCATCCCCTCGGCTCTTTCCTCCTCCCTCACTCTCCCCCTCCTCCTCACCCTCACGCTCCTCCTCCCCCCTCTCAAACGTCCCCTCATCCACCTTCTTCCCCCCCAAATCCTCGTCCCCTCCACTCTTTCCTCCTCCCTCACCTCCCTCCTCCTCTTCTCCACCTTCCTCCCCTCCACCCTCCTCCTCCCCCCTCTCAAACGTCCCCTCATCTACCTTCTTCCCCCCCAACCCGCTCTCTTCCCCCTCAGTCTCGCCTCCCCTACTGCCTCCCCTACTTCTCACCTCACCGCCTTCCTCACTCTCTCCCGTCTCTCCTACCCTCTCCCCCTCACCTTCCCCACCCTCGCCCTCTCCACCCCTCTTCCCTGCACCGTCTCCTCCCTCCGCCCCATCAACTCCTGAACGCTCCCCTACTTTCACCTCCTCGCCCTCCCCTCTCCCCTCCACACCCTCCTTCCCTTCACTCCCACTGCCCGCCCTGTCTTCTCCACCTTCCCCTCTCTCGCCACTGCCAGAACCACCCACCCCAGCACCATCACCGCCATCACTGGCACCAGCACCACCAGCACCACCAGCACCGCCAGCACCACCAGCACCACCAACCCCAGCACCACCAGCACCACCACTCTCAGAGCTGCTTCCCCCTTTACCCCCTGCCACCGAACCCCCGTCCGTCCCCTTTGCATCCACACCAGCACTCCCACCTCCATCCGCCTTCCCACTCCCCTCCCCACTATCTCCCCCACCCAAACCAGCAGGCGGGGCAGAGGCAGCAGCAGCGGCGAAATGGGATTGGGTGGGGCTGTGGGAGGGCAGGGGGGTGTGGCGGTTGAGGAGGAGGAGGTGGTTGAAGAGCAGGAGCACCCACTGGTCCAGCGGGCCGGGCATGCAGTAGCGCTGGCAGTCCACTGACCCGTCCCTCCTCACATGGTGCCCGTCGGGACGCAGGGAGGTGGCCGCGTCAACATCCATGTAAACCACTCCGTACTCCTGCACGCACACATGGGGCAGGGCGGGCAGGGCGGGCAGGGAGGGGAGGGAGTCGAGGGGCGAGAGGCGGTTGAGGAAGAGGAGGTGGTTGAAGAGCAGTGAGGTGGCCGCATCCACATCCATATACACCACTCTGTGCTCCTGTGGATTGTGTGATGAACGGGTGAGAGGGTGTGAGGAGGGGAGGGGTTGTAGTAGGATGGGTGTTAGGGGAAGAAGTGGCAGCCTCAACATCCATACACAATCAAGGCACCACCCACCCATCAGCCGAATCCCACCCTTACCTCGAGCAGCGGCTTGACGATCTCGTTCATCTCGCGGTGGCGGGACGAGGAGGCGAGGGGGCGGCGGCGGAGGGGCAGCGTGGCATCGTCACAGTCCTCATGAGGTGCAGGGGAGTTGCGCCAGAGGATGAGCAGGTTGGGGTGCCGCTGCCTCACTGCCTTGAGCGTTGCTCGTAGCTCCCTTAGTAACGTGCGCTCTGGTTGGGGCAGGGAGGATAAGGGGAGGAGAAGAACAGTGTACATGCAGAGCGGGCAAAGGGGCAGCGTGGCATAGAGGTTTTAAGCAAAGGGTGTCATGGCCCGACTGCCAACTCACTGCTCTTGTATCGCGCGGTGCGGGAGAGGATCAGAATGCCAGTGCGCCAGCGCCTCAGCTTCTTCACCCAGCGGTTGTTGACAGCAGACACTCGCCCCGTGTCTGGCGACAGGAACGGGTTCAGCACCACCCGCATGTTGAACCCTGCTGACCCCGCCCCGCCCTCTTCTTCCTCGTCCCCCATCCCCCCTCTGCTCAGCTCCCCTACCTCGCTCTCCTCCGGCCCTCCCCCGTACCGCAGCAGATGCCTGCCCACTCTCCCCCCCGAGCTCCTCCTGCTCCTCCTCCTCCTCCTCCTCCTCCACCTCCCTCGCCTCCCGCTGCTGCTGTTGCCGCTGGGTGCTCATACCTCCCTGCCTGCCCCTCCTGGGTGTGGTGCTGTGGGCGCCGGTGTAAGGGGAGGTGCGGGAGCGAGTGCGCGTGTGGGAGTGGGAGGAGGGGAGGCGGGAGGAGCGGGCGGAGGAGGCAGAGGAGGAGGAGGGAGAGGAGAGCGAGAGGCGCACGTCTGTGCAGAGAGGGTGCCCTGCCTCGTAGCAGGCGCCCTCTGTGGCATTGGCCCTGGAGGGGGAGAGGGGGAAAGGAAAGTGAGAAGCGGGTGATGGGGAAAACGGGGATAGCAGGCAGTAATCAGAAGTGCAGAGGGGGTGCCCTGCCTCGTCGCACACGCCCTCCGTTGCATTGGCCCTGGGACGGAGGGAGGGAAGAAGAGAAAGGGGACAGTTGGGGATAGCGAGCATTAATCATGCAGGTCCAACGCGCCCGCATTCCCCACCACCACCACGTTGCCATTCGCAATGCAAACACCCACCATCCACCACCCATCACTAGGAATCACCCCGCAAGCACCAATCCCAGCACCAAGCACTCATCCCCCACTGGTACCCACCAGGCATCCCCAAGAGGCTCGGCAATGCGGCGGGTGTGGGCCGTGACGACTGTTCAACAGTCCCACAGTCCAACAGTCCCACAGTCCAACAGTCCCACAGTCCAACAGTCCCACAGTCCAACAGTCCCACAGTCCAACAGTCCCACAGTCCAACAGTCCCACAGTCCAACAGTCCCACAGTCCAACAGTCCCACAGTCCAACAGTCCCACAGTCCAACAGTCCCACAGTCCAACAGTCCCACAGTCCAACAGTCCCACAGTCCAACAGTCCCACAGTCCAACAGTCCCACAGTCCAACAGTCCCACAGTCCAACAGTCCCACAGTCCAACAGTCCCACAGTCCAACAGTCCCACAGTCCAACAGTCCCACAGTCCAACAGTCCCACAGTCCAACAGTCCCACAGTCCAACAGTCCCACAGTCCAACAGTCCCACAGTCCAACAGTCCCACAGTCCAACAGTCCCACAGTCCAACAGTCCCACAGTCCAACAGTCCCACAGTCCAACAGTCCCACAGTCCAACAGTCCCACAGTCCAACAGTCCCACAGTCCAACAGTCCCACAGTCCAACAGTCCCACAGTCCAACAGTCCCACAGTCCAACAGTCCCACAGTCCAACAGTCCCACAGTCCAACAGTCCCACAGTCCAACAGTCCCACAGTCCAACAGTCCCACAGTCCAACAGTCCCACAGTCCAACAGTCCCACAGTCCAACAGTCCCACAGTCCAACAGTCCCACAGTCCAACAGTCCCACAGTCCAACAGTCCCACAGTCCAACAGTCCCACAGTCCAACAGTCCCACAGTCCAACAGTCCCACAGTCCAACAGTCCCACAGTCCAACAGTCCCACAGTCCAACAGTCCCACAGTCCAACAGTCCCACAGTCCAACAGTCCCACAGTCCAACAGTCCAACAGTCCCACAATCCAACTGTCCAACAAGCAAGCACCTCCACCCACCCAGTACTAGGCATGACTCAGTAAGCACAAATCACTCAGCAGGCACCCACCAGGCATCTCCCAGAGGTTCAGCAATGCGGCGGGTGTGGGCCGTGACGAGGTGGTTGAGCAGCGCATCATGCAGGTCCAGCGCCCCAGCGTCCCCCACCACCACCACGTTGCGCCCGCGCACAGCCCGGCAGAAGGCAGTGCGCTGGAAGGGCAGCAGGGGGCACGAGGCGTCCCCCGACTGCCACTCGTACAGCGCTGCTCGCCGCACTCGCCACCGCGTTGCATCCCCCCGCCTCCTGGCTTTCTCTGCTGCTGCTCCGTACACCCCGCCCTCCCTGTATCACGCGAGTTGTTGGGTGGCGGGCGGGGGTGGGTGGGAGGGGGAGAGGGGCGATATGAGGGCAAGGATGAGATTTTTGAAGCGGCTGGGTTGGAACACCAGTGCTGCATGGCAGAAGGCGGTGTGCTGGAAGGGCAGCAGGGGGCACGAGGCGTCCCCCGACTGCTAGGCATGCCAGCTGCCCCACTCACTCTTTGGCCCAGAGTTGGTCGCAGGAGCGGTGGTTGGGGTGGCGGGCTGAGTGGTGGTGGCGTGAGGCAGTAAGATCCCACGGCAACCATCTCGGGGTCGTGTTGAGCGCCCACCGCCCGCCCTCCCTGCCCGCCAGACACGCCAGCTGTCTCCGCACGCGCCCCACCTGCTCCTCCCCCCGCACCCCCGTGCCGGGGATGCGCCGGGCCAGCACGCTACTGCGCCCCCGCATGCCCCCCCCTCCACCCCGGGGGGAGGTGGTGGTGCTGTCACTGTCGTCGTCGGTGTCATCTGGGCCGTCCGTTTCCATCTCGGCCTCCTCCTCCCGCTCCTCCTCCTCCTCCTCCCTCGCCTCCTCGTCCACCCCATCCTCCTCCTCGTCCTCTGCAAGCACACCGCAGGACGGACACATGGGAAAGGCGGGAGGAGTGGGGGAGGGTGGAGTGGAGAGGGAGAGGGGTGAAGAGAGGGAACACGAGGGAGGAAAGGGAGGGCCAGGGCGTATGAGAAAAAGAGAGAGAATGGAAGTGACTGAAGTGAGACTGGTGAGGAGTAATGCGAGAAGAAGACAGAGGTGCAGGAAAACGGGAAGGGCAATGGGAGCAGAGCAGAGAAGAGCAGAGCAGGGCGGAGCAGGGCGGAGCAGGGCAGACAGGGGACGGCAGTCAACCATAGCCAACTCACCATCGTCCCTCCCCTCCTCCTCATAATCCTCCTCCCTCCTCTTCCTCTTCTTCTTCCCCCACCCGCCCCCCTCCCCCACCCGCTTCCCTTCCTTCTTCCTCCGACTCATCTTCCCCCCTGCCCCCCTCAACTCCACCCCGTCCTCCTCCTCCCCAGGCTCATACCGCCTCCGCGTCAGCCCCCCCACCTTACCCCTCCCCCCAGCCTTCCCCCCACCACCTTCCCCCACAGTGGCAGCAGCCATTTCAGCCTCATTAGCAGCGAGCCTAGCCTCGCCTGCAATGGTATCTGCTTCGGTAATCAGCTTCTCGTGCACCTCCTCCCAATCATCCGGACCTCCCCCATACCTCGGTTTCCTCTTCCCCTTCCCCTTCCCCTTCCCTTTCGCTTTCCCCTTCCCTTTCCCCTTCCGCACTCCTGTCTCTGTGTCATACTCCCCACCACTCTCCCCCTCCCCGTCCTCCTCCTCCCCATGCGTCAGCCCTGAGCCTTTGCCTTCGAAACCCCTTGCGTCCGTGGGGAAATCAGGGTCGGGAATCGGGCGGGTATTCAAGAATCCGGGTAGATCTGGTGCAGGCGGGGTCTGACCCGGCTGTTTCACCTCCCCTTCTGCTCCCCATTCGCCCCATTTCTGCTGCCCTGCGCCTCCCTCCCCCGCCTCCCCCATCCACTCCCCCGCTTTCGCTCCGCCGCTGTTCCACTCCCCCTCCCCCGTCAGCCCCTCTCCGCCTTCCCCTTGCGCGCCCCCTGCCCCTTGCGCGCCCTTGATGCGGGACACCAGGGTGCTTGCATGGCTGGCGGAGATGGGGAGGAGAGATGGGGGAGGGGGAACGGGGAAGGGGGATTGGGGAGCACATTTAGGGAGGGACGAGAGCGGAAAGAGCGGAAAAGGGAGCGGGACAGGAGTAAGAGAGAGACATGAGGGGCATGCGGGGCATGCGGGGCATGAGGAGCATGCGGGGCATGCGGGGCATGAGGGGCATGCGGGGCATGAGGGGCATGCGGGGCATGCGGGGTATGCGGGGCATGCGACACATGCACGATTCATAGCTGCCTCGCATACATCTCGTTCGTCGTCACACTCCCCATCGGTCGCACGCACCTGAACGGGTTCACACCGACCAGCCACAGCAGCAGCGACGCGCCGATCACCGTTACAAGCACAACCGTCGCGCAAGAGCAGCACCGCAGCACGCCGCCAGCGCCCGGCGCGCGCGCGGACTTGCGCGCGCGCTGCTGGAGGTAGCGCGAGCGGAAGGTGGGCGAGGGGTCTTCGTGCTGCACGCTCTCGTACCCCGCCCCGCGCCGATGCCTCCCCCACGGCCACATGGGATCGCGCGCGCGCCGCGAGGTGCGAACCGGTGAAGAAACTCGAGATGCGCCGGTGAGCAGATGCGAGATCAAGCTGACGAGAGCAGGCACGACGGCGCGGAGTTTTAAGGCGCCTCAAGAAAGCGGCGCTCGGATTGACGCTGTCGATTATGAAGAGCACGATCTAGTCGGATGCGAAAGGCGGCGCCAGGAGAACAACGAGTCGAGAACTTGTTGACGGAAAGAACCGCGCGAAATCGAATCTACCGCGGATGGCTGAAGAGCGTGTATAAAGGAGGTGACTTTCGAGTCAATCGAATATCAACAACGCGAAGTCGAAATCGCGCTGGAATGTACCGCTGATGGGCCTACGAGCGCTGGAATGTACCGCTGATGGGCCTACGAGCGCTGGAATGTACCGCTGATCGGCCTACGAGCGCTGGAATGTACCGCTGATCGGCCTACGAGCGAGCGTATGAGACGGTGCTGACGCCTAAGCGACAAACGCGATGCTGCCGACAGCATTGGCCTCCTCACCCGAGGCGCGGGGAATCGCACATTGGGAACGAAGCGCCGAGCAACCCAAGACTCCTCATTTCAGGCGCGACGACTCGGCTACAGCGCAGAGGACGAGCACGGAGGTAATAGAGAAGATACAGCTCTCATCGCACTCATGGGAACGTTATTCCTGTGGCTCAGATTACTTCCCTTGGGAATGACTGCTATGGCTGACAGATGCCCTGATTGGATACCTGGGAGATAGGGGTATGTGGGTGGGGTCGCGGCAAAATCTTTTGAAGTTGGTTGGTGGATGGTTGCTGTGGCGATGTGGCGAAATTGCCGAAATTCGGGGAGGCATGTGTGTGGTTCGCGACGAATTCGATCTCGAATGTCTCGACCAAGACGAGAATACCCCACCATTCTGTGCATAGTTGTGGCAATAGCAGATTTACTGGCAAAAGCTGGAGCGATGGGGTCGCTATCACCCGTCCACTACGCGATTCGTCAACCCTGCCGCCTCTTGCGGGTCGATTCGCGAACCAATGTTATTAACGCTCCACGTCAGCACAGCAACTTGCCTCTCTCGCTGAGGCCGGTCGCTTCAATCGCCCCGTCTCCTTCTTTCCCGCATCAAAATGCTCGCGCCTTCTCTCGCCATTCCTCTCGCTGCGCCTCACGCCGTGCCTCTCGTCATGTTAATTTAACCGAATCACCGCCGCGAATCGCGCTTCACAGCTCCCCTCGAGATCGACACTCATCGCTCCGCGTGCGCGCAGCAGCGGAGCGCGGCGCGCTGGCAGCACAGCAGTCCGACTCGGCTGCTAGGGAGAGCGTCGATGTGCTTATAGCGGGCGCTGGCGTCGCGGGATTAGCCACGGCTCTCGCTTTACACCGGTACAGTCACACGCCTCTCTCTCTTCCACAGACCCACCTCCATCCCTCCCTTCTCAGCATTCTGGTGATTCCTCCCCAACACCACGGCAAGCGCGCGTGGCAGTGCTCTAGCGCGCGGCTCCCCGCATCTGCGCCACCCAACTTTCCCCGCTCCTTCCCTATTGCCCATTCTCTCCTCTCTTTTCCCCCTCCCGCTCCCCATTTTCTCCCTCCCCGCCCGTCCCCGCCTTTCCCCGCGCGCGCGCCAGAGTGGGCATTGACGTCGCAGTGGTGGAGCGCGCGCCGGCTCTCGGCCAATCAGGAACGGCGCTGAGCCTGTGGGGCAACGCTTGGCGCGCTCTGGACGCGCTGGGGGTGGCGGGTCTGCTGCGCGCCCACTACGTGCGGCTGGAAGGGTGAGCGGGGCGCACCAGGGGAAAAGGGAAGGGGAGGAAGGAAGAGCAACCTGGGGGAAAGGGGAGGGGGGTGGTGGGTGGGGAGGGGGGAAAAGGTTGTTGTATCTGTCCTGCCCGTCTCATGCATCCAGTGTGGAGTATCTGCTGCCATACAGGACAATGTGACGTCGCATGCTCCTTGATACTGCTCACTGCATCACTGCGCACGTTACTCCCCCTGCCAACCCCCCACGCCACCCCCGACGCCACTGCTCATCCCCACCAGCATTGACATCGCAGCAGCGGACGGCACGACTCTGCGCTCCTTTGACTTTGCAGACTGCAATGTTGGGTGGGTAGTGCAAACAAACTCCTTGCTGATTTGTAAATTCGGTATCCGAAGTAAGCTTTCTGCAAAAAAAAAAAAAATCTCTATGTGAAAAATCTTCACGTACCTGTAATATGCCCCCGCTCATATACCCGTCCACCCTCCCCGCCTTCCGTCCATACTGTGTGCGATGGTGTGGGTGATGGTGGCATGGGAATGCAATGCTGTTATGGAAGCAATGTTGTGGTTGATGTGGTGTCGTGGAATGGCGGTGGCATATGAAATGACATGGGGGCTGGCATGGCATGGATTGGGGCTTGGCATGGATGGGGTATGGCATGAATGGGGTATGGCACGTGATGCATTGACTTGGATGGATGGATGGCATGCAGGCCAGATCACGAGGTGAGGGGGGTCACCCGCGCGCACCTGCTCTCCTGCATGGCCGCCCAACTGCCACCTGGCACCATCCGATTCGCCACCACAATCACCCACATGCCAGAACCCACCGCCACTGCCTCCCCAGTAACCGTGACTCTATCCAACGGTGCCACTATCGAAGCCAAGGCGCTGATAGGGTGTGACGGGAATGCATCAGCTGTTGCTTCTTTGCTTGGCCTGCCGCCCACCAACTACGCCGGATACCGGGCGGCACGTGGGGTGGCGGAACTAGATCCAGCAGAATCTGCAGATTCTGCCGTTGCTGCTGACAGTGGGGGTGATGCGGAGGGTGGCGACGTGGGAGGGAGTGTGGAGGGGAGGGGGAGGGTGGGGATGGTGTGGGGGAGGGGGGTGCGAGTGGGTATGTACCCTCTCACGCCCACGCGCGTCTACTGGTTCACCTGCTACAATGCTCCGCCCTCGCCTTTGCCGCCCAGAGGTAAATCAAGGTCTTACTTTGTCTGCTCCCTTCCCTGTGCCTCTCCAGTTGGCACGCCATTCGCCCTGTGCCTTGTGCCATACGCCCTGCGCCATATGCCCTGCGCCAGCTTTGCATCTCATCGCCATTCTCCCTACGCCTCTCTTGACATCAACCATTCTCCCTCTTCCCCTCTTCTCCATCCGCATCCCCTTTCCCCCATGCCATGCGCACTTCCCCCACCAGGATCAGCAGCAGCCAAGGAGGAGGCTCTCTCCTACGTGCAAGGCTGGCAGGGTTGCATCGAGCGTCTTATTCACGCCACGCCGGCCGCCAGCATCGTGGTCGGCACCATCACAGACCGCTGGTCGATGCCCCCCCCTCTGGGCACATGGGGACGAGGCGCCGTCACTCTGGCCGGCGATGCCGCCCACCCCATGACTCCGAACCTCGGCCAAGGCGCATGCACAGCTTTGGAAGATGCTGTGGTCTTGGCTCGGTGCCTGTGGGAGGCTTCCGTACCAGATGGGGAGGACCGGAAGGGGAGCGATGGAGTGGGGGGAGGGGAGGACGGGACGAGTGTGCGGAGGAGGGTGGGGAGTGAGAAGGTGTGTGGAGCGTTGAGGGAGTATGAGAGGTTGAGAGGGAGGAGGGTGGCACAGCTGACTGTGCGATCGTTTGGCATAGGGTGGTTGCTGCAGTTACCCCAGGAGTTGGTGTGCTTTGCGCGGGATAAAGTGGTGCTGCCACATCTCTTCTCGCCCTCGCATTTCCTCGACCATGCGCTCTTCGACTGCGGCAAGCTTCCTGACAGCGATGCCTCATAAGTTATTACTAACATGTGGGTTACATGTTGGTTTCATAATATATTGTCCTGCCGTTATTTGCAGCTATGGTAACACAAGCCAAATAGTTTATTTCTTACAGAAGCGTCTCGTTTACTTGTACAGATAACCAACTTCTCTGTATCGCCCCATCCCAAATCTGGGCCTCCCGCTGCATCCGCTCCACCCCACCCATTCCATCCCTTGATGCGCCATCACCCTCCCCTCAGGAGTCTTCTCAAGTCTGGTGAAGTCCGTACGCACAGCGTGAGCCATACTTCCACCATCACCACAACCACTCGTAACTTACGGATCTACTACTGTATACTACGCCTGTTGCCCGCAACGCCTGTAGATAATTCTTACCTCATGCTTATCGCTCTTCTGTACAGCTAGAAGCTAGAACTGACACCAGTAGCGTGCCTGCATCACGGCGTGCGTATGACTGACCGACTAACATCATATTCTTTCACGCCACTCACCGTGATCCGGAGATCTCGAGGCGCTGCCGGTGATAGCGGTACCGCAATACACCGCACTGGACCCCTGAATTTGAGCGCAAACCCAGTCCAACACCCCCAGAACGCGATATTGCGACTGTTTCCAGAAAAAGGAGAGGCGAGAAGGAGAATGTTTCATCCCATCGGCCGTCTATGGCCCTCCTGCAGCGCGCCGAGCCATGCGATCCACTGTCGCCGTCGCTAATCCGGTTCCAAGGTCGCACCTTTGCCCGCTGCGCCGCGTATCACCTTAGCAGGGCTGTGATTAGCCCACGTCGATCAGCCCACGTGGATCAGCCCACGTGGATCAGCCCACAGCGCTATTTATTACTCTAGGAGGCCGCTGACGCCAGCATCTGCCACTGTAGCGCCTTGCTGACGTGAACCCCGATAGCTCCCTGACCCGCCACGTCGCAACCCTTCGTTATACACTCCATTGTTTCACATTCCTCTTATATTCTTCACATTATCACGTTACATCAATTATACTAATTTCAGTAGTTTCCCACTCCGCGCGCGCATGGCGCTGCCCCTGGGCAAGCTGGGCGATCTGGTGCTGACGACGCTCAGCAAGCCGCTGATCTGACACCGAGCAGCAGTGTTTGGGATCTAGGCTCATCTGCCAGCAGCAAGTAGAAACGACAGTGCTGGAACAAAGCCCCAGCTAGCAGTAGCGGAGAGTGCGCGCGCGCATGGCGCTGCCCCTGGGCAAGCTGGGCGATCTGGTGCTGAAGACGCTCAGCAAGCCGCTCGCCAAGGCCATCAAGCGCCGCGCCGCCAGCCACCCCAAGTTCCGCGCCTCCATCGCCAACTGGGCGCAGGTGCGTGCGCGCGCAGGGGTTCCGCGCGCAGGGGGGTCCACGGGCAGGGGGGCACGCATAGGGTGCGCGCGCAGCTTTGGCGCACAGAGAGCGCGGTTCCGCGCATAGGGTGTGCGCATTTCTACCACAAATTCGGTGCATTCATCGCCAACTGGCGCAGGTGGGTGCGCGCAGGGGCGCCACTCGCATTGCGCGCCACTCGCATTGCGCGCCCCTCGCATTCTCGTTCCCAGTACCGCCTTTTGCTTCCCGCGTCCCTCCTCTCGTCACTCCTCCAGCCATCCCTCCCTCTCCCCTCCCTTCCCCCATTCCCCCGCTTTCCCCCCTCCCCCCTCACTTCCCCCCACCAATGGCCCCCAGGGCTATCACCGGTTCACGGTGCGCTTGCAGCGGCGGCTGTACGGGCAGAGCTGGCTGGAGGATCAGAACTCACCGCCCCTCCTTCCCAACCATCCCTGCCCCCTCTGCCCACACCCTTCCCCTTTTTCCTCCACCTTCCCCCCCCAATCCCCTCTGGCAGGGCTATCACCGGTTCACGGTGCGGCTACAACGGCGGCTGTATGGGCAGGCCCCCGCGGGGCACATCAAGCGGTTGAACGAGGAGAAGGCCGTCAACACGGCCAGCGAGGTGGTGGGGGAACTGATCGTCTTCGCTGTGAGTGGGTTGTGGGGGAAGGTGGCTGTGGGGGAGGCAGCTAGGAGCCCCTTATTCCTCTGCATGCACGTTTCTTCTCCCCTTGCACTTGTTCATTCATGCACACGGATATGCATGCTATGCTCGCACGGGTGGGGAGGGTGCAGGTGGGGGGGGGGCGTGGTGTTCATTGAGGCGGCTAGGCTAGCAGTGCCTTAATTTTCCTCATGCACGCGCCTGCTCGCCCGTGCTCGCTCATTCATGCACATTCGGGCATGTATGCACACACTTCCATGGGTGGGTGCAGGTGGCGGGGGGCGTGGTGTTCATCGAGGCAGCTAGGAGCGCCTTATTCCTCTGCATCCCCCTCCTCACTTCATTCATGCACATGCACACGAATATGCACTTGCACGTGCATGGGTGCAGGTGGCGGGGGGCGTGGTGTTCATCGAGGCAGCTAGGAGCGCGCGGTCGAACGCGCGCAAGGAGGCCAAGCTGAAGCAGGAGCGCGAGGTGAGGCAGGAAGGGGAGGGGGGCTGACGCACGGGGATAGAGGAGATGCCAGGGACGGGTCATGGGGAAGAGGCGAGAGATGAGAGGAAGGGAGGAAGGGAGAAGTGTGATTGTTTTGCTGGTTGATGGCAGCAGGCTGGGCTGCTGTGACTCTGATGTACTGGCTGTTGCTCTCTGCTTCATGGTGGTCTGCGCCTCTCACCCTCTCCCTCGCCCTCTCCCTCACTCTCTCTTGTTCATTTGCACACCCACATTCTCACCCACCCACCCACATCCACATACCTGCACCGCCGTACCAACCCCACTGGCATGTGCGTGGCAGGCGCTGCACGAGAGGGACAGGCAGCTGGAGGAGGAGGCGAGGCGGTTAAGGGAGCGCGTGGAGCAGCTAGAAGAAGCCCTGGCTGCTGACGTGTGGCTGCCACGTGTCCTCACTGGATTGGCCACCGGATCCTCTTCTTCTCCGTCCTCCTCCTCCTCGTCCGCCTCTTCTGATTCCTCCTCAGGTTCCTCTCTCCCCTCTCCACCTGCAGCAGTGGGAGGGACGACAGAAGGGGAAGCAGAGGGCAGGGAAGGGGGGAGCAGGGAAGGGGGCGAGAGAGAGGGGTATGGGGTGGAGGAGGAGCAGGGAGAGGGATTGGCGTCAGGAACCAGCAGCAGGGAGGGCAGTGAGGGGTTGGGAGAGGGACGGGAGAAGGGCGGTTGGGCAAGCGTGGGAGGACGAGTGAAAAGATGGATGGGTGGGTGGATGGGTGGGTGGGGTGGTGGTTCTAAGCATGCGCCGGGAGCAGCAGCAGGGGATGGGGTGGTGAGGATTAACGACATGGAAGGGGGGGATGGGGTCGGGGAGGAAGGTGGTGGAGGGGAGGAGGAGGCCGGAGGGGAGTTGAAGATGAGCGCAAGCAGATGAGTATAGCTACCGGCATGCAAGGGCTCCGGAACAATTTCGCCAAATAAACAAGGGATACATGAGTGCAGGTACATGTGGCGAGGCTGCCGGCCCAAGTGGCAAAGATTCGATTCCATGCCTCACTTGTGTTACACGGTTACGATGGGGGATTCGCAAGCTTTATGACCACTTGCAACACAATGAATTGCTCAGCAGTGGCTATGGATGATTCCATGTATCACTGCGGTACATGATTCATTCATTAGTGTACAGTGGACACTCACATATATGTCTTACATCTGCACCTGTGCGACTCTTGCTCTGCACCGGTGAGCGTCATGCTGCACCGTGTGTGTTCTTGTGTACCCTAAGTGTATCCTCTGTGTTGTGTATGTGTGTGTGTTCCCTGTGGCCCCGTATGTTTGTTCCCCTTGAAAAACATGCAGTTAAGATTGGCAGCTTATTATTTTGAATTGCTAGCATTAAACATCAGTGCTTGTGCCATATTTCTTAGGTGTGCACAGCTCATGGAACCATATACAATCCAGCAATAAGCAGCTGATTGGCAACAAGTCAAGCTGGTCTGTGGCTTGCAGCCCACAGCCAGTGAGGCATACTCCCTGCCCCTGCTGCACTCCCCGCCCCTCCTGCTCCCCCTGCCCCTCCTGCACTCTCCCCCGCTGCTGCGCTTCCCCCTCCCCCTCCCCCACTCCCTCTCTCTGCTGGCCCCCCTCCGCCCCCTGCACTGCTGCCCTGCCCAGGCAGTTGCTGCAAGTGGCTGTATTGGGCCGGGGGTATTTGTGTATTTGCCCCTTGTTGGGCTTGGGGTATGTGCTGCACCGCCCGCTGTGGATGCTGCTGAAGCTGCGGCAGCTGCTGCGGCTGGGATTGCAGTTGCTGCTGGGGCTGTGGCGGCTGTGGCTGCAGTGATTGTGTCTGTAGCTGCTGTGGCTGTAGCGGTGTGGGCAGGTAGAGAGGGGGAGCAGCACCATATGAGGCTAAGGCATGGAAGGACGTTATGGGGGCAGCGGATGCTGCTGCCACTGCTGTTGCTGCTGCTGCTGCTGTTGTTGCTGTTGCTGTTGCTGCTGCTGTTGCTGTTGTTGCTGTTGCTGTTGCTGCTGCTGTTGCTGTTGTTGCTGTTGCTGCTGCAGGTGCAGTTGTTGTTGCTGCTGCTGTTGTTGCTGCTGCTGCTGCTGCTGTTGCTGCTGCTGCTGCATCTGCTGCTGCTGCTGCATGTGTTGCATGAAATGCTGCTGGGAGGGCATAGGAGCTGCCACCTGTTGACTGCCGGCAGTGCCAGTCTGCGCCGGGGCACTCACAGGCATGTAGAACCCACCACTGCTGTAGGCCATGTGCGGAAGCGGCACACCACCAGCACCAGCAGCAGCAACACCAGGACCACCAGTAGCACCGGCAGCACCAGCAGAATTAGCAGGGTGGGGCGGTAGCATGGTGACGTGCTGGCTGTATGGCGATGGAGTTGCAGGAGTAACGGCAGCGCCCCCCGCAGCACCACCACCACTGCCTTCCGACCTGTTACCACTCACCACCGTGCCTGATGAGGATGCTGGGGGCATGGTTTGCTGCCCCTGCTGCTGCTGCAGCTGCTGCTGCTGCTGCTGCTGCACCTGCTGCTGCTGTCCCTGTTGCTGCTGCTGTTGCCCCTGTGGCTGCTGCTGTTGCGGGGGGGTGGGGGCGGGGATAAGGAAGGGAGCAGTAACGTACATCTGCCCAGGGGGGGGCGGGGGGAGCGCCATGGCCATCCCAGGGGCGCCCATGAACGGCTGCATGTGAGCCATCTGAGGCACCTGGTTCATTTGCCCTGTCTGTCCCATCTGATGGACCTGCGCTGCTTGCTGTGCCTGTGCCTGCGCCTGTGCCTGCGCCTGTGCCTGTGCCATGTACTGCTGCATCTGCATCATCTGCTGCGCTTGCCCTGCTTGCTGCGCCTGTGCTGCCTGCTGTCCCTGCGCTGCTTGCTGTGCCACGCCCTGCCCTTCCTGCCCCGCTTGCCCCGCCTGTCCCTTGCCCTGTTGCTCTCCTTGACCCTGACCTGCTGAGCTGGCGCTGACCTGGAATGGAAGCTGACCTGGCAGATAAGCTGCCACCATCATTTGCTGCTGCGGCGGCTGCTGCGGCTGCTGCTGCACAGAGCTTCCGGTGCTTTTGCCATCATTCCCAGGCGGGAGTGAGAGCGGGGCGGTAGGAGGGAAGGCGTATGGGAAGGCACCAGCAGGCACGGCAATCCAGCCCTGCATGCCTGCAGGTGCGGATGGCACCGAGCCTGGCATGGAGGCTTGGAAGGGCATGGGAACAGGCATGGGAAAGGCTCCAGGCGGCCAGGCTTGAGGTGGGAAGGAGTGGGGAGGCAGGGGGGGTGGTGGGGTAGGGAGAGTGGCTGGCGGCTGTAAGGGCTGTGCTGCTGGCGGTCGGGTTAGTGCCTCCTGTGACGCTGCTTGCTGCTGCTGTTGCTGCTGCTGTTGCTGCTGTTGCTGTTGCTGCTGCTGCTGCTGCTGTTGCTGTTGCTGCTGTTGTTGCTGTTGCTGCTGCTGCTGTTGCTGTTGCTGCTGTTGCTGTTGCTGTTGCTGCTGTTGCTGCTGCTGCTGTGGCTGTTGTTGCTGTTGCTGAGCCTGTGAGGCCCTGCTGTCAGCAGCGTTAGCATCGCCGTCCTCTTGCTTCACCGCCACTACAGCAGCCTCACCCCCTCCACGGCTTACGTTCACCAGGGAGCTGCCACCCGCCGCTGCATCCCCATCCTGCCCACCCTTCTCTCCCCCCTGCTGCCCTCCCTGCTGCTGCTGCTGCCTGCCTCTCTGCCCAGCGCCATCGTTGCTCTCCCGCGGCTCTCCCCCAACGCGGCTCTCCCCCCCCGCTGCTGCTGACGACGCGGCTGCGGAGGAGGCGCGCGGAGTGGGCGCGGAGGAGGAGAGCACGGACACGGGGGGGCTCATTGCCTGCTCCGACCCGCTTCCCCCCATGCCCCCTGCTCCCCCCATGACCGCTGCGCCGTCCGCGCCTCTCATGCACGTCTGCGCCTGCGCCATGGGCGCGTGGGCCTGCGCCATGGGCGCATGGGGCTGCGGAATGGGTATGGGAGCAGCGTTGGCAGTAGGCATGCGTAAGGGCATGTGCATGGGCATGGATGCGGGGTGATGTGGTGAAGGTGGCATGTGCATGGCGGGCTGAACCATTCCAGGCTGGCTCATGGCTGACGTCAGCATGCCAGGCTGGCTCATAGCTTGCACCCCTTGCTGCATGTGCAGCGGTGACGTCAGCATCTGAGGGCGAAACTGCGGGTGAAATTGCATGGAAGGCGCGGAAGCAGCATCGGCAACGGCGGGGGGAGGGGAGGAAGCGGGAGTGGCGGATGGAGCGGGAGCGGACGCAGGCGCGGGGGCAGCAAAAGGAGGGCGGGAGGGCGGGGCAGCACCAGAAGGCGCACCAGCAGGAATAGGGGCGGCAGCAGGAACACGGACGGCTGGAGGAGGCGCAGCGGAAGCGGTGGGAGCAGGGGCGGCGGGGGTGGCGGGGGGCGCAGTGGCGGAAGGGTGCGCAGTGGCGGCGGCGGGCGCAGTGGCGGAGGGAGGCGCAGTGGCCCAGGGCAGGAGCGCGGACATGCGGTGGTGCAGCTGCCCCTTGAGCGCGTCCACCTCGCCCTTCAGCGCGCCCTTCTCCTGCCGCAGCTCCGACTTCTCCGCCGCCAGCTGCGGGGCGCGCAAGGATGGCATGGGCGGAAGGGACGGGGGCAAGAAGAAGATGGGACACGTGGCGCACGACGGACAGGACGGAAGTTTCAAACGGAAGGAATTAAGGAAGCGATCATATCTAGCGGCTCGTCTGGCATGCCTAACCCGCTGCCAACCCCTCCACCTCGCCTCGCCTCACCTCTTTCGATTCGTCCACGAGCGCGCTGTGCTCGGCGCGCAGACGGTTCACGTTCGCGCGCAGCTCGCGAAGCATTGTCAGCCCGTCGCTCAGAATCGTCGCCTTGTCGTTCTTCGGACGGTCAGGATCTGCAGATGGAAGGCAGGAGAAAAACGAGATAAACTCATGAGAATCACTTGAAGAACCAAAGTGGTGGTAACTTTCAAGACCGTGACTTGAAGATTAACGAATAGGACGCGTTAAGAGAGTAATCCATTACCGAGGACACTCGCGAGTTCCATGAATTGGTCGTTGAGTCGATCCCGCCGCATCTTCTCTCTATCAGCCTTCTGGAGCTTCTTAGCCGCCGTGCTCTCATGCTCCCCCCCTTCGCCCCCCTCCGCCTCGTCCCCTCCCCCTGCGCCCCACTGCGCGCTCCCCCCGCCCGCACCCTCTTCCGCCGACACCATCTCCCCGCCTACTACTCCGTACATCAGCCTACATCCACCAGCGCTTCCGCCCGCGCCTTCCGCCATGCCGCCGTTCCCCCGGGCTACAGTGGCGTCGAAGGGAATCGAACCCGCGACCTCCGGTGGGCGTAGAAGAGGAGGCCGAGCGAGCTCGCGGCTGAACGACGCTGGAAGAATCACGACCTCCCTCTCCTCGCTCTCGTCCACGGGTCGTTCTAAATTCGGCTTATAATCACCCGCTGCTGCAGCGCGTGCCTTGCGCTTGTTCCTGTTTCCCAGCAGTGGGACCCGCCGAGCCGGCTCGACTACTGCCGCGCCGCCCATGTCTCGATTGCGTGCTGGTTATTGTATGTATGGAGAAAGGACGGTAACACAGCAGCACGAACAGGAGCACAAGGTAACGAATTAGGCGACCTGTCGTACACCGAGACTGGATTAGAGGCGAAATGAAACGAATTGGGGAAGTTTGTGCATTCTAAGGAAAGGAACGAACGAAAAAACTAGCGACGAGTTGCACGGACGATTCAAGAGAGATACTGAAAATAAGTAAGAGGGAAGGTGAGAGAAGGAGTTAAGGGGACGCACGTGCATCGCGAAGGATGCTGGTGAGATCGCCGTCAGTAGGACCTTCCCGCACGGTCGGGGTACGATCGTGTGCCTATCGGGATGCGATTTGACTTCAAATGCAGCGCGGGCGAGGGTCGACGAGCGAAATGGGTGGATTACATGTGTGCGCGCGCTGCTCGCTACCTCGATGGTGGTTCATCGAAGCACACTGCGACGAGGACGAGCAGGTGAACGGACAGGGGGAGGCGGATGCGACTGGAGGTGGATCGGACGATCGAATGAGCGCAGGGGTTGAAGGACAGGCGGAGCGGAAGCACACAGTGGTCAAGTCGACTTGTCCTATTGGCGCAGCACACGAGTCATGGCGAAGCGGAAAAGAGAGTACGGGGCGGAGGTGGGCGTGAGGTGTGTGTGTGGTGCTGGCGAGGCGAGGCAACAAGAGAGGAAGCCGTAGCTGTGCTTAGTGCACGCACTGCGATTTGATGGGAAAGCGGATGGAACGCGAGGTGTGGCGGGTGAAATGCATGGAAGAAGAAAGGTGTGCAGTGCGCGTTGATGCCTCACCTCGAACATGCCGTTAGCACAGGCCATAGCGTGGCTTGGCGATGGGTCAGCAGCAGCCTAGGGCCTTTCCGCTGGACACGTCAGGTTACTGCGATAGCAATGCGATCACTTTACGGTTGAGGAAAAACGGTAACCCCTTTCTGTGACCGTCGCTATGAGTCGTTGAGGGTCACCTGATTGGTCACTTAAGTTTCGCTGGATGGCTCGGTTTTATGACAACCCCGTGGCCCACTTTGTAAGGACGATACACTCAACGTCAACCTTCCCCAACGAACACGCAGCACGTGCTTCGATGATGCAATGCAACCCTGGCTGTTTGCCCCCGTACACGTTGTTGTAAGCTCCAATTAGAATAAACCGTTTCTGTAATCTCACGACGAAGTGTTTTCATGCAAGGCCTCAATGCTGCATCCTTTCAGTCGTTCCCCATTTGAGCAACATTCAAATCCCAAGGCTGCCTGATTCCCAACAACACGCACCCATATTCAATTTCCCTTCTCATGCTGCACTGTCCGCCATATGCCGCCTTTCTCTGCGTCACCTCGCTGCTCTGTCTGCTCCCCATGGCGCCCATCGACCCGCACTCCAACACGCAGGCCGGCGAGCCGCTCACCACCTTCGTCGACTTCAATCTGACCGTCGATTTCGACAACAAGCAGATCTCCGGAACGGCTCGATTAGTGCTAGACAAACCCGTAAGTCACGGGTTAGCTCCATCCCGCGCCTCGCGAATTCCGAGCCTCGCGGCTCACGGGCCGTCCTGCGAATTCAGTAACAGTTTTTTTTATATCATTTAGATTTCCCGTTTCGACTCGTCAAACTCGCCGTCGTGTCCTTAGCTTCCGTTTCCCCGCCTCTGAGCGACTGCCTGCAGGCCACGGGGACGCTGAGCCTGGACTCGCGGGATCTTACTATTCTCGGCGCCACCGACGCTGCCGGAAACGACGGTGAGGATCCCCGTGCAAGCTTCTCGCGTTGCAGCTGTTTTCCGTGTGCGTGCTGCCGCTGCTGCTGACATGTCGTGCTCCCGTTTCCTCCCTCCGCCGCCTCTCGCCCGATAACGAGCCCGTTCGTCTGCTGCCGTCTCTCCATCTTCCACTTTGTCGCACTCGCCTTAGCAAGTCTGCGCGCTTCGTTCGTCGCTGTAGCACACCCCATCGCCCTCCTCTCTTACATCGTAATTCGCGACGTTTCTGTCATCGCCATGGCGTGTCATCGCATCATGTCACACCGTGATGGCATGACATCACCCATACGGCGTGATATCATGACGGCATGTATTCACCATATGGCATGGTATCACTATGCGTCTTGGCATGTGGCATGTGGCATGTGGCATGGCATGGCATGGCGTCCTGCAGTACCATTCCAGCTGCATCCACCACATCACGTGCGCGGATCGCTGCTCCAGCTCTCCCTGCACTCCAATGAGGTCACCATCCGTGAGTCATCACACACATATTATGTTCCCTCTGTCACCGTGTTCATGCGAGTGTATCATGTTCCTGCCTCTTCACCTTCTGTGCTGCCGGATTGGTGTGTGCTGTCCAATTGTCCTGTGCTGCGCTGCCCAATTGGCCTTGTGCACCGTGCCAGCCTCGTGCGTCAACACGCCCTACCACTCTCTCCAACCCCTCCACCTCCCCTTTCTTTCCTCCCCTTCCCCTGCAGGCTACCACACGGGCCCCAATGCCTCAGCGCTGCAGTGGCTGACACCAGCGCAGACGGCAGGGGGTGCAGCACCCGTACGCCTCTACGCTGCAACACGCAGCTTAGTGTCTCCTCTCCCCTTCCCCGCTCCTCCCCTGCAGGCTACCACACAGGCCTCAATGCCTCAGCGCTGCAGTGGTTAACACCAGCACAGACAGCAGGAGGGCAGCACCCGTACGTGTTCACACAGTGCCAGGCCATCCACGCCCGCTCTGTCTTCCCCTGCCAGGACACGCCGCAAGCGCGCATCAAGTACCACGGTCAGCCCCTTTTCCTGCCAAGGCTCTGAGTGGTCTGATTCACAGGCTGCTCTTGCATTGATTCTCTGCGTGTTGCACACGTCACAAGGCATCTCACCGCAGTCAGCTCTTCCACTTGCCAAGGCTTTGAGTGATCAGATTCGGTTCATGCTTTCTCCCATGCATGCCTTCCCTTTGCCCATGCCGGCTTGTTGAACGCTGTTGCCATGTCAGTCGGCCCGTTTTCCCCTGCCATTCACCCCTTCCCCGCGCTTTCCATGCTTACCTCGTCCTCCTTCCCACCGTCTCCCCTCCACGTGTGAACATCCACCGCAGCGCGAGTGAACATCCCGGCAGGCCTCCATGCGGTGATGAGCGCGCAGCACGTGGCCACGGAGCAGACAGCAGATGCCGGCCGCGTGGAGGAGGTGTTTGGGATGCAGCAGCCCATCCCGCCGTACCTCTTTGCGCTCGCTGTTGGGGACATCGCCTCCAAGACACTGAGCCCGCGCGTGAAGGTGTATGCCGGTAAGGTGATGGTGATGGCGATGGTGATGCGGATGATTAGTGCGTTGCCGAGCAGCTTCTTGTGCACCAGACAACTCGCCCATGTCTCTCTCCTCCCCTCTGCCCCCTCCTGCCGTCCCCGCGCCCCCCCCCTCTCCCGCCCCCCTCTGCACTCTTCCCCCTCCCACAGAGCCGTCACAGGTGGAGGCAGCAGCATACGAGTTCAGTGAGACAGAGGACAAGATCAAGGCAGCAGAGGCCCTCTTTGGCCCGTACGGGTGGGGCGACTTCAACCTGCTGCTCATGCCGCCTGCCTTCCCCTACGGTGGCATGGAGAACCCTCGCTGCACCTTCCTCACGCCCACGCTGCTAGCTGGCGACCGCTCATTGGTCAGCGTGGTGGCTCACGAGCTGGCGCACAGCTGGACTGGTAACCTGGTTACCAACGCGGATTACTCCTCCTTCTGGCTGAACGAGGGGTGGACGGTGTATGCGGAGCGGAGGATTCTCGAAGCAACGGAGGGGGAGGAGAAGGCGAAATTAGACGCGGCTATGGGCTGGTTAGACCTGCAGAAGGGTCTTTCACGCTTCACCTCCGAAACAGGATCATCCAGCCGTCGATTCACGCAGCTGGATCTGGGCACGGACGGCCTGGATGAGATCGATCCGGACGAGGTGTTTTCCGAGGTGCCATACGAGAAGGGGTTTTTCTTCCTCACGCGTCTGGAGAAAGCGGTGGGGCGGGCCGCGTTTGACGCGTTTATCACCAAGTACATCAGCAAGTTCGCTTTCCAGTCTATCACCACGGCCATTTTCCTTGAGTTTCTGCAAGCAGAGCTGCCTCAGGTGATGGAGAAGGGCGGCGACAGCTGGGTGGACGTGGAGGAGTGGGTGAGAGGACAAGGAATGCCGGTCGAAGCGGAGAGTATCGTGCCGCAGTCTGCCAGGCTGGCGGCTGTGCAGCGGGCGGCGAGTGGGTTTGTTGAGGATCCGCACTCAAAGTTTGGGCGGGCGGATGCGAGTGACTGGGGTCCTGATGAGTGGCAGATCTTTCTTGCTGGTCTGCCCAGAACTCTGCCCGTTGAAACGCTCGTGCGATTGGACGAAGAGTTTGGCTTCTCAAAGGTACCAGTTCATGCTTCCTTTCACTTTCCTGTCTCCCTTTTTCTGTCCCTTCTTTCCTCCCTCTCCCTTTCTCCAATGTCCTCTTTTAATGCCCTGATTGCTGTGCATCTCGTCTTTGCGATCCACCGCTTCTTTGTTACATTCAGATTCTTTACGCTCTTTACATTCAACTTTCCTATCCCACACCACCACTCCCACGTTGTGCCCTTCAATCAGAGCAAGAACACGGAGATCAGTGTGGGGTTCCTCACAGTGGCAGCACAGTCAGGAGCAACGCAGTTTCACCCCCAGGTGGAGGCAACCCTCATGTCTGTGGGGCGCATGAAGTACCTGCGCCCGCTCTACACTGCGCTGATTAAGGGCGGTGCCAAGGACATGGCTGAAAGGGTGTTTGAAGCAGCAAAAGCAGGGTATCACCCAGTAGCATTGGCACTTGTTAGTGGTCTTTTGAAGGGGTGAGAGGGGGTGAAAAATGTGTACAGTGAAAAAGTGCTCAGCAGCTCAGTTATACAACTGAGGTAATGAAAGAGCTTTTGGGTTTGCAAGCATCATCCAAGGAAATATAACAACTATATCGTTACCACAATCATTCAACGTCAACCTTTGCGCCCCAATTATCCTTCTACAGAAGTCGCTCCTTAGTGGAGAAGCTTTGGTAACACGTAGCCCGCCCAAAGTCATGGAAGTCAGAAGTTTTGTTTGGTTCCTGGATGCTTGGAGGAATTTCTTCGGCTGGAACCTCGCGACTCTTCCAGCGAACCAGAACATCGAATCTGGCGATCTCGCCAGCGCACGATATTTTTTACTACCCGAGAACACCAATCGTTTCGCCGAAACCCACTGATCCAGGAAAAGCAGCCTGCCCGCCAAACCGGCTCACAGAGTGTGCACGTGAGCAAGCCGCGTGAGGCCTCTTGCTGCTGCACCTCACCAAAGATTCTCTGCTCTTCCCCTGGCCGAACCAAGGGGAGCGTTGGGCACTGAGCATGCAAGCGAGCGCGAGGCCCAAAACCAGACAAACCGAGCAGACTGCAGGCAGCGGGGCCAGCGAAAAGAATGCCTCGAATCGGCCGTTGAGTTGAATCTGCCCGGCCCAGCCTTCCAGCCATGGACACAGCCCGCTGTCGCCCCGTCACCCCCTCACCTCCTCCTCACCTCCTCAACTCACTCCCACCCCACGGACCCTCATTTCCGCTCCCTCCCTGGGCGCCTCTCCTCCGCTCATTTCCCAAGCTTTTCTCGCTTCAGCTGCTTCTGCTCGCTGCTTCTTCTTCGCCCTTTCGCCTGGCATTTCTTGCATTCAGCCAACTACCTCCTGTAACCATTACTCGGTCAGCAAGTCGCCATGTGGCTCTGCGCGCCGATTAACGCAGTCAGCAGGTGGCTGTGATCCGGTTTTGTGGATTGAGCTGCAGCGTCTGTGCTGTGTAGTCAACGAGTCGAGGCGTCTTGGAAACGTCGAACATCTAAAACTAGATCACGTGGGTAACGGCAGGTGAACTACCTCGGACTTTTGGACTGCCTCCACTTGTGCGACGCCAATTGGTGAACACCGCGTTTCGGAACGCTAGCTTGGTGTTTTGCAACTAAGTTTTTTACTCTTATTTATCAGCGCTCCCTTCCATTAGCAAACACGGCCGACACGGACGTGACGGTTGACGTGAATTCGTCGTTCATTCGAAAGTCAGAAAGTCTTAGATCCTCCACGATCCTCCGCATCAGATTTAGCCCCGTCAGGTTGCAGATAGATAAGCATAGGGGTTAGGCTCCCTTTTCAGACAAGAGAGTTTCTTGGATGGAGGAGAGCGGTGACAATGGCAGCACATGGGAGGCGCGTCCTAGCGGCACAAAGGACCATCTTAGCCCACTAAACGCCGAAGGGGGAGACGTGGGGTCGCAGACACCCGCAGCGAGCGACGGCTATGCGTCCGATACTGGCCCCGAGAGTCACGGCGGCGGAAGCGGTAAAGGCGCAGGAGGAGGCAATGGTTCCAGCCACGCTGCCAAGGAAAGGAAGAAGGGTAAGCTGTGCTACCATTACACGCCGCCAAATTTGCGCGAAAATTCTTGCATGCCTCATGGTAATCAGAGCCGCTAAGCACTAGTTTGGACTGTAAGGGTGATAAAATGGGTGTGTGTCTTTTGATGTGAGCAGGAATCCCATGGACGGAGGAGGAGCACCGGCTGTTCCTGGTGGGGTTGTGCAAGCTGGGGAAGGGCGACTGGCGGGGCATCGCGCGGAGCTTCGTGGTGACGCGCACGCCCACGCAGGTGGCGTCGCACGCGCAGAAGTACTTCAACCGCCAGAACAACCTCAACAAGCGCAAGCGCCGCTCCAGCCTCTTCGACATCAACACCGACTCTGTAAGTCGCCCGTAATTTCCCCGTTTTCCCTCGCCGCTCGCCGCTCGCCGTTCCGCCCTCTTTCGTTGTCGTTCCCGTTTCGTTGTCGTTTCCCGTCTTCGGCTTCCCACGCTGATCATCGCTTTCCCCTACGTGCTGACGATGCTTTCTTCCCGCGGTTGCTCGGCTCGCAGATTTTGGAGGAGAGGATGGATATGACTCGCTCCGTGAGCACGCCCACCCTCCCCCTCGCGCCTGAAGACGCCAAGTGCAGCGCGCGTGCCGCTCCCACGCACGATCCACCCAGCCACGCGCATAACCCCCCCTCGTCCGCGTCGTCGCCCAAGATTCCGTCCAATCACGCCTCCGTCAAGCCGCCGTCAGTCACGATACCGTCAGTCACGGCGTCACCGCCGCCTGCTTACGCGCAGCACGCGTCCCTGCTGGACCTGAACCGGTCGCACTCCTATCCCGTCGTGCCTGCCGCCGGGGATACCCACTTCCCGCGCTCCCTCAGCCGTCCGATGTCCCTCCCATCGCTCACTCCCGCGAATCCCACTGTACATACTCCCGCGGACGTGTTGTTCCCCCCTGCTGACGTCAGTCGTCCCTGGCGCATCCCGGGCCTTGCTGACCCATGGGGAGCCAGTGGGTACCCCGCAGGAGGCCGCACCTGGCCTCCGCATCCTGCTTGGCCCGCGGCCCGTCCAGATGCAGTGTATCCGGCGATGATGATGATGGACCCGGCTGTGAGGCACAGGATGGGGTACGAGATGCTGCTGCGCATGGAGGAGGAGAGGAGGCAGCGCGCGCACGCGGTTGCTGCTGCCAATGCGGATGTTGATGCAGATGTACAGGGCGCTGAGAAGAAGGTTAAGGTGGAGAACGAGGGGGGCATGGGGGTGGAAGGCAGTGTACATAAAGAGAGTCTGCCTTCCAAATTTGTCGCTGGTGCCTCTAGGTTATCTGAAACCATGGCTCCTGGTAGTGGGCGTAATAAGGGTAAGGTGGAGGAGGAAGGTGGTGCATCGAATGAGGCTGGACTGGCAGCAGCTGCTGCTGCGCAAGCAGAGGCAGTGCCTGTGAAGCAGTTTCCTCCGCCTTTCTCCCCTCCTCACGGCTTCTACCCACCCACCTACCACTCCTTCCCGGACCCATCCTTCATGTACATGTGGCCTCCTTATCCTCCTCCTCCGCTGAACCTGGGGTGCAGCTGGCAGCCTCCCTTCTCTAGCGGCCATTCCAGCAGTCCAGCGGGCAGCAGCCGAGTGCTTCGGCCAACAGCCATGCTGGCCACGTCTCCCCTCCACGTGCCTCTTGCTGTCAAGGAGAGAGCTGAGAGTGTATCAACAAAGGAGGCGGCTCGTAAGGAAGCCGGGCTGCAAGGAGAGACTGGTTTCAAGGGGGATTGTGAGGGGCTGATGTTAGGGATCAATGTGTCTTCAGACCCTGCTTCTTCCAAGCCCTTGACAGTGCTCAGTCTCACTTCTGCTCCAGAGGTGGCTGATTCTCTGCCCCGGAAGACACCTACTACGCTTCAGCTCTTTGATGTGTCCCGCCCATCCGCCTTTCAGCTCCAGACTAGTTCTTACAAAGAGAGGTCACAACAGCGTGGTGCTGGGGGAGTTGGCCATGCTCCGATAAGCGTCTCGTAATGGTTAAAGGTCAAACGACCAAGGCTGTCTTGTACCTATCTCTTTTCCAGTGGATTGTGTACATAGTGTATAGAATTATTGTTGTTGTGTGCTCTAGCTTTTGTGTTGGCTTGTGTCATGTCCTTTGTATATCATTTATCTACTAATACATGGTCTTTTCCGTTAATATTTTGTGTGCGTATGCTAAATGATGGGCTGGATTCAGCAGCCTTCCGCTGATTCGTGGGAAAGTAAGCAACCCATGACACGAATACTCGATCCTCATTGACCAGCATTACAGTACCCCTATGTGCTGTCGTCGTAGTAGCCGTCGATCTTCAGCAATCAACCAGGTCAACAACAATTGTTAGAATGACAGACGTTCGATGGATATTAGGTGACCTTTGGCAGCCGTAACTCCCCCTGACACATCGTGTCGCGTCGCAGCGTCGCGTTCCGCATGTCGAACCCAGACTGACAAATCACAAGTGCCTTCCAGCACCTTCGCCTGAATTCCTTCTGCCCTATTCGTCGTGCAATCCCTACCACCAGCGCACAAGGATCGAACATTCCAGAATGCAGAACCCTCACCGCCAGTCGCGGACGACCAGCCTGGCTGGATTGGGGAAGGAGAATGGAGCGAAATTGTGAGAAAATCGGTTCTGCTTTGGGTTGCCGCGTCGGCTCGGCTCAGCTGCAGCGTAACTGCTGATAAACTGATCCCGTGAGCTCCACGCCTCCTAGTTCTTCATAAAAGTCGAAACTGTACCAGCTTAGGTGACTTCGTCTTACTGCCTATTTCGAGCTCGTATAACGTAGATTGTGCGGTCTCCTCGACTATTTATCAGGCGCACCACAAACTTCCGACTTCACCAGAAATCAGTTGTTAGAAGGTTTTCTAGCTGTGCCCTCACGTTGTAGCGTTGAACTCGCAACTTCCTGAACCGCTTGAATCAGCAGAGCATGGCGATGGATGTAAGAGTAGCGCTGTCAGTCGGACGGCGTCTCTTGTTTCTCGCCGCCATAATCGGCGTTTTCTCAGCGTCCATCGCTGCATCCGTCACTCAAGAACCGTCTCCTACTATTGGATCATCAATCCAAGAGGCTTTGAAGGTAGGAACATTGGGAAGCGTGTAGCACGACTGAACAGACGAGGGACTGACAGTGCAGTAATGTTATCACCATAACGAGTCGACGTTTACAAGCTGCGAGCCGCGGGTTCGTCGTTGGGTCGTTTCAGTTAAAACTTGCTAATCGCCTGAGGCTTTGCTACTTCGCTCCCTCCTCTCTCCTCCTCGCAGGACTTCACCCGTCACGTTAGCATCGAAAACCGCTGGCCGACGTCCATGACTCGCGTCAGCAGAGTGGATTTGGAGGACGCCACGTGGCAGCGCGTGCTGCAGTACGACTTTGAGGTGCAGCTCGGCGCGCAGCGGAAATCTTTTTCCCTTGCGGAGCAGCTGAGCCCTCCCGAGTACCTCCTTCCCCACTTGCCGCCTCTCGCCGCACCCGACGCTGCTAGTACCGACGAATCGACGGGAGAAGCAGAAGAGAAACAAGCAATCGGTGCTTCCGAGGAGAGTAAAAACGGAGACGCAAGAAAAACAGGAGCCCATGCTTCTGCGGACGGGGGTTATCTTGCGCTGCGAGGCAACTCGCTCCTACAATCAGTTTCAGGGTCGGTGCTGACGTCAGCGGCAGCCGGGTCGCTGCCGCCGGTGACGGTGGAAGGGCCAATGGAGATGTGGGTGCAGGACGCGGAGCAAGTGCGCCTCGCCATGCCCGTGAGTTGCGCTGCAGCGTTTGCGGGTCACCCCAGTCCTTCCCTTCCCCTCTCCCATCCGTCGTCCGAATGTCTCATTGTTCCCCAGTGTCCTTGCCCTTGTGCGATGCTTCCATTTTTCCACTCCCCGCTCGCCGCGCACCCTTCTCCCTTCTCACCGCTCTCCGCTCCTTTTCCCCCTCTCCCATCTCTCCTCTCCGCCAGCACGACGTGGATGCGGGCGAGGTGAGGAAGGTCGTGCTCGCGTCAGGCGCCGCCGTCACCGTGCACGGCGCGCAAGCAGTCGCCTTGGCGCGCCCGCTGCAGCTCCCCCTCCCCCCTCTCTCCCCGCACTCCCTCTCCGCCTCCGCCGCCTCTTCCGCGCTCCTCGGCCTCGCGAAAAAGCTCAAAGCCGCCGCGCTTTCCTGGTCCTCCCCGTCCCGCGCGCCCTTGTCCGCGTCCCCCCTGCCGCGCGAGCTCGTGTCGCTCCGCGTGGTGCGCCCCTCCGCCATCGTCGCCGCCAGCGTGCCGCTCTCCCCGCTCCCCCCCGCTCGCGACGTCGCCAGCATCGGACTGGTGGAGGCGGTTTCTGGGGCGGGTGCAACTGACGACCTCGGGAATACCGCCGCCGCCACTAGTACCGCGACCGCTCTTGCGCCCGCCAAGCTCAGAGTCAAACGGATAGCAGCAGGCGCAGTGGAGCTGACGTCAGCGAGGCCGCGATCCACGTCAGCAGCGGCAGCAAGAGGCAGCGCCCTTTCTTCCCTCGCGGCGGCGCTGCCTCTGGCGTCGCACACAGGCCCCCCCAGGCCATGGCCGTTCCCAGCAGTGAATCGATCTGATGGGCGGCTGACGGCGCTGGGGGAGGCGCTGCAGGGCGCGCTGGGGGAGATGCTGGCGCAGCAGGGCAAGGGGAAGGGGGGGAAGGGTGGTGGTGGTGCCTCTGACGGTTTGCCCCGCGTGTTCCAGCTGGTAAAGGCCAGTGCTTCTGCTGGCCGGGTTGTTCGCATTCCTCTACAGGTGGAATTGCGGGTGGAGGGCGTTGGCCAGTCCATGCTGTCCGTGGCGCTCAATAACGAGACTGCTTCAAATGAGGACGGAACGAGGACAGAAGCAGGGAAGGGTGGGATGAAGGAGGAAGCAGAGAAGCAGAAGGTGGATGGGAGTGACAGCAGGGAGAGGAGGGGAGAGGCGGGCGGGAAGAAGAAAGGCGAGCGGGAGTCAGTTGTCATGACACGTCAGCAGTGGGAGTTGGTAGCGCAGGTGGATGGCGGCGGTCGGCTGGTTCCCGTGCATGTGGGACGAGTGGGGTCAGTGGGGCCGTCTATGGTGGTGGCGCCGCATGTGCTCTCCCCCAACACCACTGCCTCCCTGCCCAACCTGCCCCCGCCCAGCCGACTCATGCTCTGAGTCGCTTCCACCTGTTTGGTTGGGTATGAGATCAGTCGCACAACGGCAAAGGTGCCGCAATGCTGCCTTCACTCACACACAACGCGTGTGGTACATAGTGTATGGGTGGAGTACTGAATGGTTTATGCCTGATGAGATTATATAAAATACCGTAAGTTGCATTTGTGCTACTAGTTGCGTCTTATTGTGCATTGCTGTCAAATGATATATATGTGTGATACATATAGGTAGGCTGTAGTGGGGTAGATGTTATAGGGGATAACACTTTAGGGTTGTGTTATTTTGTACCAAACTCTCGATAGTCAATCCAACCTTGCCTGATTCTCTCGACATGGCATCTAGAGCAGGTTCCTAGACCTAAGCTTAAGGGCCCACCATGTACTAAGTTACCTCCCCAACGGCCTGCCTACCTGCCATACATACGTGTCTGCCTAGCCTGCTGCCCGCGCGCGCCTCGGCTGCGCGCGCACGCCTTTTTTTTACCGCGCACAGCTGCTGCCAGCCGCGTCGCGCCCCGTAGGTCGCTTGTACAGCCCGCCCTGCGCCCGCGCGGCCCGCAGCTGCCCTGCGCACCGTCCGTGCAGCCCGCGCGCAGCCCGCGCCTAGCCCGCGCGGCCCGCACTGAGCCTGCGCAGCCCGCGCGCAGCCCGCGCAGCCCGCGCGCAGTCCGCACGCGGCCCGCGCACCGCCCGCGCAGCTCTCGTCGCGCCCCGCCAGCCTGCGCGCGGCCTGTCACTGATCTGCGTGTTTCCTTACCTGCTACAGTTGCCTGCTGCCTGAGCCTGCTGCCTGAGCCTGCAGCCTTTGCCTGCTGCCTGAGCCTGCTGCCTGAGCCTGCTACTTTTGCCTGCGCTGCAACCATGGCGACCCTTACTGTTCTCGCCTTTGAGTCTGACGGCCGCCCCATCGAGTTTGACACCTGGCTTAGTGACCTGCGCCTTTACCTTATGACTGACGTCGCAGACGGAGTGTCACTGCTAGCCTATGTGACCGGCACTGTCCCTACTCCCGCTGAGACTGCTCCTGCCCCTGAACGAGCACAGTGGGAGCTCCGCGATGCAGTCGCGCGCCTTGTTATTCGCAATCACCTACCGATCTCTGAGCGCGCGCATTTCAACCAGCTTAAGACTGCTCAGACGCTGTATGATGCTGTCGTTGCCCGCTATTCCGCCCCGGCCACAGCCACCGTTGGTAGTCTCATCCTGCCTTACCTGTTCCCAGACTTAGCCTCGTTTCACACTGCTGCCGACCTTATCACTCACCTCCGCGCTAGTGACGCCCGCTTTCGAGCCGCTCTTACCGACGAGTTCCTCGCCACGAACCGCCCCCCGCTGTACTTCACCCTCTACATCCTCGTCACCCGCCTCCCTGACACTCTTCGCTCTGTCAGAGATTACTTCCTTGCCAAGGATCCTCCAACTATCACTCTGGACGACTTCGAGCAGCAGCTGGTCGCAGCAGAGAAGAACATCCTCGCTGTCGGTGCTGCTCGTGGCACTCCCCGCACTCCCCTCTTTGAGGGGTGCTCCCCCTCCCCTCTTGACCCCTCCTACGCCTCTGCTGCTACTGCTGTCGACTTCCTCGGTGCGGAGAAGGTCGCAGCGGCTTCCGCTCCTGGTGGGAAGCGTGGTGGTGGCAGGGGCGGCAAGGGTGGCAGGGGTGGCGGAGGTGGCGGTGGAGGGAGCGGTGGTGGAGGCGGCGGGGGTGGTGGAGGTGGTGGGGGTGGCCGTGGGGGTGGAGGCGGTGGGTGGGGTGGCGGCAGGACCGGGGGCGGTGGAGGCGGCGGCGGCGGTGGTGGGGGAGGAGGCAGCGGCAGTGGCGGTGGAGGTGGGAGTGGGGGTGGATCTGGCCAGAAGGGTGGCCAGCAGCAGCAGCAGCAGCAGCAGCCACAGCAGCAGCAGCAGCTTCCTCCCCTCACCTCCCAGCAGCTCAATGACTGGTATGCTGGGCGTGGGGCGTCTCGGGGTTCTGACCGCTGCCCCTATGTCATTCGTACTGGCCCCCGCAAGGGTCGCCCCTGCAACGGTTTTCACACTGAGTATCGTTGTTTTGCTAGGCTTAGTGACGCCTGGCGTACCAAGTATCCTGATGCTACTGAGTTCCCCAACTGGGCAGAGCTGCTTAGGCGTGATGTGCCTATCTTTGATCTGGACTATGATGTTATTCTTGCTGCCATGTATGCATTGACTGTTAGTGCTGAGGGTGACTGCTACTTGTGTGTGCCGCCTGACCCTGGTATTGACCCCGGTATAAGGGCTGCAGCCCTAGGTGCTAGTGAGTCTGCTCCCCTTGGTACTGAGTCGGCTCAGGCCTTGCACACGTTTACACTTGACTCTGGTGCTTCCCGCTGTTTCTTTCGCGATAGCACCACCGTCACTCCCCTCCCTGCACCTGTCCCTGTCTCCCTGGCTGACCCCTCTGGGGGCCCAGTGCTTGCACGAGCCACGACTGTGCTCCCGTGCCCGGCGGTCCCGTCTGGTGAGCTGTCAGGTCTCCACGTTCCCTCGTTCTCTACGAACCTGGTGAGCAACGCCGTCCTCCAGGATCACTGGGTTGACACCTGGACTCCTGGAGGGCAGCGTGTGGCGATCTGCACGTGCTCCAAGACTGGCCGCCACCTAGCCACGTTCACTCGTGAGCCGGGGTCCAGTCTGTACACCCTCACCACTGTTTCACGCTCCGCTCCTTTGTCTCCGCAGCTGTACGCGTCTGCTCAGGTAGCTACCCAGTGTGAGTGCCGCCGCCTGTCGCACGACACGCTCCTGTGGCACCACCGCCTTGGTCACCCCTCCCTGCCTCGCCTTCGTAGCATGCACTCTCGCTCTCTGGTCTCTGGGCTTCCCAGGTCTCTGCCTGCCCTCCCTCCCTCGCCTGCGCCGCCCTGCATTCCCTGCGTCGAGGGGCGGCAGCGCGCCGCTCCTCACTCCTCCTCGTTTCCTCCCACAGAGGCTCCCCTGCAGACGCTTCACCTGGACGTGTGGGGCCCAGCCTGCGTCCAGGGACAGGGCCGTGAGCGGTACTTTCTGCTGGTTGTCGACGACTACACGCGTTACACCACGGTCTTCCCCTTGCGCAGCAAGGGAGACGTCCCTGCTGTTTTGATCCCCTGGATCCGCGCTGTGCGTCTCCAGCTCCGCGAGCGGTTCGAGCGGGACTTTCCTGTCCTGCGTCTGCACTCTGACAGAGGTGGTGAGTTCTCCTCTGACCTCTTGGCAGCCTTCTGTGCGGAGCACGGCATCACCCAGTCGTTCGCGCTTCCGGCCTCTCCGCAGCAGAATGGGGTTGCTGAGCGCCGCATTGGCTTAGTCATGGAGGTCGCTCGTACCTCCATGATCCATGCGGCGGCTCCCCATTTTCTGTGGCCGTTCGCGGTCCGGTACGCCGCGCATCAGCTCAACCTCTGGCCCCGTGTCTCCTTGCCGGAGACCTCGCCCACACTACTGTGGACGGGGGAGGTTGGCGATGCGTCGCGTTTCCGGGTCTGGGGTGCTCGTGCCTTTGTCCGCGATCTCACCGCGGACAAGCTCTCTGCTCGCGCCATTCCCTGCGTCTTCCTTGGTTTTCCTCCTGACGCGCCTGGCTGGCAGTTTTACGAGCCCACCTCGCGCCGTGTCTTTGCGTCTCAGGACGTCACCTTTGACGAGTCTGTTCCCTTCTACCGTCTCTTTCCCTACCGCACTGCCTCTCGCCCCCCCCCGCCGCTCTTTCTCGCTCCAGGTCCTCCCCAGGTAGACCCCCTCCCCGCGCCAGGTCCTGCTCCTTCAGGTGTTTCTCAGGTAGACCCCCCGGTACCTGCGCCTGTTGAGGTCACTGGTGACTCAGGTCCTGCTGGAGGTGGTCCTACTCGGGGTGCTGTCTCTGGGGGTGCTGAGCCTGGGAGTGCGGAGCCTGAGCGAGAGGCGCCTAGAGGTGCTGAGCCTGGGGGTGCGGAGTCTGGGGGTGCCGTGCCTGCGCGTGAGGAGCCTGGAGGTGCTGAGCTTGGGGGTGTCGAGTCTGAGGGTGCTGTGCCTGCGCGTGAGGAGCCTGGAGGTGCTGAGCTTGCGGGTGCCGAGTCTGCGGGTACTGAGCCTACGCGTGTGGAGCCTGGAGGTGCTGACGCTGGAGGTTCTGGAGCAGTTGGGGGTGCTGGCGCTGAGGGTTCTGAGTCTGCTGTTGCGCGGTCTCCTTGGAGTAGCCGCCTTCGTCCACGGGTGCCTCTCACCCCACAGCAGCTGCAGGACTGGTACGGTCACCGTCAGCGTCGCGCTGCTGGAGCTAGGAGTGGTGCTGGACCTTTGTCTACTGGAGGTGCTGGAGTCGCTGGTTCTGGAGGTGCTCGTACTGGAGACACTGAGGCTGGAGACCCTGGGACTGGAGGTGCTGGCTCTGGGGGTGCTGCTGCTGGAGACACTGAGGCTGGAGACCCTGGGACTGGAGGTGCTGGTTCTGGGGGTGCTACTGCTGGAGACACAGAGGGTGGAGACCCTGGGACTGGAGGTGTCGGCTCTGGGACTGGAGCTTCTGGAGCTGCTGGAGGTACTGGAGCTACTGGAGGTACTGGAGCTGCTGGAGGCACTGGAGCTGCTGGAGCTGCCGGTACTGATGCAGCTGCGCCGACACGACTGTTCTTCGCTCCGCCGTCTCCGTCGTCTCTGCCGCCGTCTGACTCTGTTCTTCGTCAGGTTCTTACTCTCCCGTCGTCTACTGGTCTTCCGTTACAGCCTGGCTCACCGCTGCCTGCTCCTTCTCCTTACACTGAGCAGACTGGTAGTCCTGCTGAGCGTCGTGAGCCTGTGTCGCGTCCTGTCTCGCCTGCTCGTCCTGGTCGTACCGGTCGTCGTGTTCCTCGTTCGCGTCAGCCGGCTGTCCCCCGCGCACACCTCGTAGTTCGTCGTCCTTCCTCTGCTCTGCAGCCTGTTCCTCTGCCGTCTCCTCCTGCGTCCTCTCTACCTGACGTTCCAGACCCTGAGTCTGACCGGTTTCATGCTGAGCACCCTACTGTCACACGTCTGCTAGCCACT